TGTCGGAAAACTGGGAATTAGAGAATAATAATAGTATATATATTTACTGTAGGTCAGGACTAGGTGTCCGTTGCCAGCAGCAGAGCTCCTCTCCCTCCTATCAGAGAGAGATGTGAGAAAGTGTAATATATAATTCTATATAATTTGGAAAACGGGTTCCTTTATATACAGAAATTTTCACAGCAATATCGCATTGTACGAAGATCACTGTGTGTCACACTGTGATATAATTTCCAACAGAATATGGTTGTATTCTAATATACAACCATATTTTAATTATAGATCTATTGTGTGAATTTAATTGTGGCTGGAAAAAGGAGTTAAAGAATCCTTAAATACTTATTTCAACATAGAAAAACCAGTAAATAAATGCCATCATTCAAGAAAGATTATACTTCAATTCATTCGTGGTATATCTCATTATGAGTTAATTAATCAAGATTTTGTTAAAAGTAGCATATTGTCCTTGTGGAGTAATCTGAGGCAGAAGGTTTCGATTCTCATTTGATTCGTTGTTTTCTTGGTACTTAGTTAATCATACGTTTGGCATATAAATAAACTATGACAGGTGAGTCGTTTTGAATTACAATAATCCGCAAAACTATTAAAAGTGTGGCTCTTTATTATTCCGCGACTCAGAATAAAAATATTGTTGATTCGTTTTTCTTTTGGCTCCGTGTTATTCAATACGTTACCATTTGGGGGTTCGTCAACCCATGTAATTTACAAAAGAAAAACGAAAAGCAACCAAACAAGGTACTTTCATAATACGCATTTGCATTATTTGAAGTTATTATATTCCATTTATTCGGGGTGCCTATAGAAAAACTAATCAATTAATATAAATAAAAAAAGATATTAACTTTAAAATAATAAATGTAATACAAAAAGAAGATATAAATAAATAAATGAATAAGTAAATGAAAAGAAATACTAAATATGCCTAATATCTATTCATATTTCATTGGAGACACAGGAGAATCGTTATAAAGATAAGTACCAAAGACATTATCCCAAAACCATGAAGTAATACCAAAAGCTAATTGATAATTTTTATAGTGATGTTCTAAATGAAATTTCTTTAATTTTCTCATGAATTTTGGCATCTTTGAATGATGTAACCAATAATGACATTCATCATAATAAACGTAACCAAATAGACCACCAGCAAAACCTGCGTAAGCCCAATATAAAGGTAATAATTTAAATACCAGCCAGTAGAATGGAGTACATAAAATAATGAATAAAGTTGGTGGCATGACTAATCTATTTGGATCCATTGGTAAATAATGATGACAACCATGTAATAAGAAATGAATAACAAATGCTAGATTATTTTGTGGTAGATAATTATCAAAATGGAAGACAAATCTATGTAAAGCATATTCAAGGAAAGTCCAAACGAATACACCAACACCAAATAAGAAGACTGTTAAGAAATGATTTAAATTTTTCCATGCAACTGAGAAATGATAAATAACAACAGGTAACCAAACAACAGGAATAACCCACCAAGGAGTTAATGATAAAGGTTCTAAGAAGTTACCAAATAAAGGAGCTGAAGTTTTACCAAAATGTCTTGGTCTATTAACTTGGTCGACATAGAAATCAACGGTGAAATCACTGAAAAGAATTTGTTTTAAAAGTGGTTTTTCTAAATCTAAGAAATGATGTTTTTCAAAATCTTTTTTATAATTTGTTGCAATACTCAATTTATCTTCAGTTGGTAAATTTTTAACAAAAGTTGTTGAATCGAAATTTTTTGAATTAACAATATCAACCTCGACTTTATGATTTTTATTTGATAATAATTCTTCTTCTTCTAAATTTGTTGCTAAATAACCAATTAAAAATTTATCAGATTTAATCAATTCTGAATTTGAATAAATTACCAATTCATTATCTAATGCTTTAGTAATGTCTTTACCAGCAAATGATAACAAAAGATTTTTTTGAATTTTGTCGAATTCACTATCATTTTCAGTTAAAAATTTAGTAGCGTCATAAATTTTTCTTTCATCGACAGTTACCCAACAATCACTTGAAGTATTATGTTCAGCAATTTTACTTGATGGAAATAATTCCAAAGTCTTTGCAGTTTCGCTCATTCTGTAAGAAGAAAAAAAAAAGAGAGAGGGATTTAGACACAAAGTAGTTATTTGGTTATCTTTAGTAAGAAGGACTAATATTAAATTGGACAAGTGTAGTGCGAAAGATATAAAAATATTTAATGAAATAATCTCTTTTATATATATATGTGTGTGTGTGTGATGAGAAGTTACGTGTTAGTGAGCAAAAATAAAAAAAAAAAAGAGGTAAAGAAAGGTATAAACAAAGACGACATACTGTGAGAAACCACCAAACTGCAAGGGTAAAAAAAACGTTACAACTAGCTTAGAAGGTAAAAAAAGATACCAAAATAGAGTATTGTCCTCTCTTTATCCTTGCAGTAGTTGATGTATCCGTCAGCATGTATGAAATCAATTTAGAAACAAAACCGATAATTATCGCCAAAGCATTTTGTATGCGCCGCCGGCGAATAATAACAACAAAATTGCGCGATATTAAATTTCAATGTTTGTAGCGATGTGTCTGGGCATGTTTGGGGAGGGTTCTGCGGTGTTACTCTGTGCCAAAATGCACGTCTCGGAGAACGTGTCCCGCAATTATTATTGTTACACTGCACAGTTCGTTGTCCGTTCTAGTCAAGCCGCGGAAATGTCAACAGTGCGCACACAGCGCAATTTCAATATAAAATTACGCGTTATCACACTGCACGAACCGTGCCAGTAGCAAGCTCACGGTAAGTGTTCTTGCTGAAGAACAGCTAAACAAGAAGAACGGCAGAAATCTATCGGCAGGCACACGTTTGTAATAGCGTAAGTCCAGAGAAGTAAGCCTGTAGTGGTACGGGAGGTCGGGGATGACTATGTGTTAACCAGGATAAGGAAAGAGAGACAGGCAAGGTAGCCAACTCTATTTGTCTGTTAAAAATTATACAAGTATGACAGTATTTACTATGTATGGCCCGTTGTTGCCCCTTTCTCTTTGTGCTGCGGTGTGGTAGTCGGGTATAGGCAATAAATATAGGTAATCTTCGCATATCCTTATATTTGTGTAAAATTATCTAATCCTTTTGCAAATAGTATTATACCAATAACTAACAATCCGATATACACTTTTTGCCAAATTTGCAATAATCGTTTCATAATATTTGAATTTGAGGGCTTGATTATTGTTAGATAGGATATTAATTCTGAGCCATTGGGGAAACCTATTATATTACAAATACTATGCAATATAATGCATGATAACAAATTACCGTGTGTGATTAAAAAAATATAATTTGTTAATATACCAAATAAACTTGTATATAAAATCTGAAATGTCGTACTGATTATAATGCTTATAATTGTTTGAGTGCCTAATAAATAAATTTCATAGGAATGATGAATATGTGCAATACCGAAAAATAGTGGTGGTTCAATTAATAATTTTTTAAATGTCAAATCTCCATCATCGAAAAAGGTCATGTATGTGGTTAATAACATGGATGTATAAAAAATTTCTTCGGTTATTGGCGCAAAGATATTATTTCTCACACTCCAGATATTATTATATAAATCATTAATATCTGAAATTAAACTACTACAATTTGATACAACATAATATAAAATTGTGTCAATTATGGGACCAATATATAATTGACAAATTAATATTAAACTTTCAAAAAAATTCTTAAAATATAACGTGTTATTCCATTGTCCATTGAGCTGTCTACCTGGTATTATACCTAAATTTAATAAGTTATTAATATAATTGGATTTATTAAACTTCGTTTGTAATAAAGGTATGAAAAAAATATTAAATATGGTCAACAAACTTATCCTTTTCATACGGGATCTTATCACTCGAGGATCATCTCGTTTCCTCTTGTATTGTTCCGCATCCCTGGCTGTAATATACAACACAGAAACATACGATGCAGATATATAGAATAATACACTATAACCAATTAGAGCACTTGTCATCTTTACTTATTCATATCCTAGATATATATTTATATATGCTCTTTGTCACCTAGTTATAATTGCTTTCCAAGATAGATGTATATATAATATATATCTCGTTTGTTTGCTTCTTGCCTTGTCTCGATGAGCTGTAAACTTTTGTTTTGTTTGAGATTTTCGCCCAGTTATTTTTCACCTGCGTACAGGCGATTTTGAGGTTTGTAGAGATTTTCTTAGTCGTTTCAAATTTATTAAGATATAAATTATGCGTGCTATATTTTGTTTGTTTGTTTTTCAGTGATGAAATGTGTATTGTATATAAATTAGTAATATGTTATGTACTCTTTATCAAAAAACATTCAGAAGTTCTTGACACTGATTGGAATATCAATAGATGTAGATCCAATATGATGGAATTTAATATTGACTCTAACACAATAGAATCGACAACATAGACAACTTTCAAAACTTGGCACTAAAGTCTCTAATGTATTAGCATTAAATTCAAGATTCACATTGACTTTTCTTTCATATTGAAGTTCACTCTTTTGTTCCCATTGGTGGATAATTTGATCGGTAAATCTATTAGAGATCGAATTTCTAGAGATAGTCGCAGATGTACCTAATCCACCTTTAGCATTAACAATTTTAACAGGTTTCTTCCTTTGAGGGGTCGTACTTCCTGAATTCACCGGGGTTAGCTCTAATGACGGATCGTCTTCCTCCTTTAATGTATCAAGTTGTTTCTTGAATATGTCGGCTAATGATTGAATCTTAACTTTGATATTAGCTAAACTTTCAATATCGTTATAAATTTGGCTTGAAATAAAATTTGTAAATTTTAATTCACGTGCATTTACAATACTGCGATTCACATTGTACAATTCATTCAATTTATCCTTATTTTCAATAAATTGATCATTATAATCTTTAATCTTGTTCAAATATGAAGTAAAAGTCTTTCTAATTGAATCTAATTTATCTTCATCCATTAATAATCTCGAATTTACTTTAATTGGGATAGAATTCTCAGATTTCCCCGTAATGACAATAAGTTCAGTAGATACCGCTTGAATCTCAGGTGGTGGGTGTGGTGAACTATTATTGGACTGAATACATGTCAATGTCAAATCTAATCGTTTTAACGCGTCTCTTTCGGATGCAGGTATTGTGTCAGACAACGCATTCCAATTCTCTTGTGCTTGTTTAGTCTTGGCCTCTAATACATTTGTCTTTTTCAATAGCGATGGTGATAAATATTTAATACTCTTATGAGGCACTTTGGATTGTAAAAGGATTAACCCGAATCTTTCTGTCTTAATATTGGTTTTAGAACTGTTACTCGAACCACTACTGGTTGAATTATTATGGTTACCGTTGCTACCAGAGCTTGATAACCCACTCAATGATGTAGATGATCTAAAACTTGAAAATAGACTCTTTGTCGTAGATTTACTTTTACTTTTCAATTTGTAACTTAATTCGGATTCAATAATATCAGTCTCTGGTTCAAATGTCCTTTTCTCAAAATCTTGAGATGATAATTGATAAGATTGACTTGTTCTATTCTTGATGTGTAATTGATTTAATTTATTTCGTAAGATTTCACTAGAATCTAACTCAGTATCATTTTCAATAGTACCACTTAAATCAGTACCATGGATATCTTGATTCTTAATAGGTTCATTTTTCTCTAATCTATTAAACACAGTTTTTATTGCCTCTAACCTTTCATCTACTAACATCATTAAATCCTTAAGTTGGCTATTTGGATCACGTTCTCCGACTAAAGATGAATCGAATCCAAATGGAATATATCTTATATTATATTCTTTCTCCTTCATAATGTTCAATTGTTTTGACATTTGATCCTTACCGACAATTCTAGCATCAATAGTATAATTAATAGAAACGTTTTCATCAACTAAATCATAAGTTAGAATTGGAGAACCTTTACAACCAAGATGACCACATCCAAGGACACTATTTACTTTAATACCAGAATATTTACAATTGTTTCTATACTTATCAATACCAAAACTTGGTGGTAACAGACAATGTGCAAAATGTTCTTGTTTACAAGTGACGTCTAATAACTGTTTAGGAAATTTGAACATAAAGAATTTTTTATGTTTTACACCAGGTTCTAATATCCTTCTATTCGGTAAACCAACAAAGGAATGATCAAAATCTTCTTGGTTCGGAATCAATCTAAAACCAGACCCGGTTAAAATATTACCATATGACCAACTTGCAGATAAATCAACCATTCTTAAAAATCTTTTAACAGTACGTTTACCCTTTTGTCTATCAATTAATGAAATATAAGCTTCTAAAGTAACATAAAACATTTCAAACTTAAGAGGTTCTGTTGATTTATTTTCAACAACACAGTAACCATGGATAACATCACCAGTAGTGTATTCTTTTAATATTGATTCCTCTTCTGGTTTTTCTGGTGGATTAGATGGATGTTTTGTAATCCGTATATCAATATCTATCGGTGTATGTTTCTTTGGCAAAGTATATAATTTGTCAATGAAAATATTTTCATCTTCATCAATATCATCTTGAATAGAAGTAGTATCGTTATCATATGAATGACGAGTCGATTCAATAGTTAAATGTTGAGTGGTCAATGGATGCAAGTTGTTAATGATGTTAGTGGTACTTGGTAAAGGAGTAGGTTGCGTGTTCAATAAATGATCACGCTGTTGTTGTGATAACGTAGTCGTTGTGACGGTAGACGATGACGATGACGATGTATTTGAAGCTTGTAAGTTGAATCTATTTTGCGCCTGTACATCAAAATAATTTGGTGGGAAATCATGTAAATCAGGATTAACATTCCCTTGTGGAATGTGACGATGTAAAGTATTATACATTTCAAACGATGGTAACACATCGACAACAATATTGTTAGAATCCGCAGTATCAAGAGGATCCGGTATAGATGACATTATTGATGATTCACTAATTGAAGCATGCAAAGGTGGTTTTGCGGCAGGTTGAGAAGTTTGTTGAGTTAAATGATTAATTGCCTTTCTAATGGGACTTTCTGAAATTTTATGTGGAGCCCTTGATGGAGAACTTTTTGGTAATTTAATAATATTGGAGGTCGATGCACTTCTTATCCAGTTTGTCCTTGATCTGGATCTACTATTGCTGCTATTATCTGTGTTTTTTCTATTGTTAGATGATGAGTCAGAGTCAACGGTTCTACCACGAGTTTGATCGGAAGTGATTAAAGGAGGACGCTGTAATTTGATATCCTTAGTCATAATTAATAAAAGATCGATGTATTAAAGAAGATAGGAATAAGGTAAAAACGAAGGAATATAGTTGAATTTAAAAAATGAATAAATAATTTATTGAAGATGAGGGAAAAAATTTTGAGATATTTGAAAACAAAATGGGTAGAATATTTATATGGAAATGAAATAATAACAAAACTCCACTAGTGATTGAAATTAATACCTTTTGTTCTTTGTTTTAATATATCTAATGTAAAATATGTGTATATTAATATCTCTGGAGTCGATCAAGGTAACGATGACTTGTAATCTTTCAAAAAACAAAAAAGGGAAAATTAACGAAAGCTCAGTTAAATGGAAGAAAGAAAGAAAACTAATAATCCAGCTATTAACTTTTTCAATTTATTTGTTGCTCTTTTATTTTAATAATAGTTGTACTTTTTAGAGTCACTTTGCCGTATGCCAATCGGTTAATACAGAAATAATCAAATGGTTTTCTTAGGCTAAGCTAAAGAACTCTAAACCAAACAAAAAGTAAACAAAACAAAAAAGGGATAAATTATTATTTAGATAGTTAAATATATGTAGTAAGTACTTTTGGAATGAATAAGAATAATTACAATTTACAAAATTTCCATAAGGAAATATAACCTTTTTAGTGTTTTTTTACTTACTAAGAGATGATGATGCCATCTCAAAAAATTTATAAAAGTTACATATTTTCTAAATAAATTTTATCTTTTTTTTTTCACCAGAATTTAAATTTTTCAATTCCTCATCTCTCGCAGCTTTCCTGCAAAGCCTTGCCCCCTCCCCGCGCAATTGCACTCGCAATATTTTCAAGAATTTATGAATAAATTATTCATAAATTGTTAAAACAACAAAGACTATTCAATATTGGAAAGAGAGTCATACTTTTTGTGAGGTGGTTCAATTGCTCTTGCTGTTGTGCCCCTTGCCCTACTCATTTTGGTTATTTTCTTAATGATATATATGGAGAACCAAATATATTGTTACCTATCAAATAGGTAATGAAAGCAAAATATTTAAGAGAATTAAAAAAATCTAGAAACGATAAGAACTTTTCGTTGTTTTTTTTGCAAGAAATAGTAGTAATATTCATATTTTAAATTGTTGATTTTATTTACTTCGAAGATATCTCTGGTTCAATTTCAATTTGTTGAAATAGCATTATATTAGCATTAGAATATAAGTCACGAATATTGTTCGTAGTCTCGCTATCTGAATGGAGGGTACAACCTTAGACAACCAAAGGTTAACATCATGCAGTAGAATTCAAATTGAAATTAGTAGATTAGTCATTGAAATTGAGCCTCCTCTCCTGTAATTGGCTGGGATCTCTTATCAGTTATAAACTTTCTTGCGACACATTTTTTTTTCTATTATATATTTCAGTCACTTATTGTAAAGAAACTAGTACGCAGTAAGCGAAAAAATGTTTCTGATTTACTTCTCAGTGGGCTACGTTATTTCACGTAATATGTACCCCTAAATTGCCATAGAAGATAAAGAGACCTCAAACAGCGTTTCTATGGAGTTCTTATTTGTTCTTGACAGCTGCAAATATGATTCATACTTGCATTTCGATCTTTTTTCATGTTCTCTACTGTGCATACGTATTGAATAATACCAATTTAACCACTCATTTATATTATGTGCATTGAGCAAAAAAAAACACTCCTCCGTTTCCGGCAACAATTGACACAGAAAACATCAAAAAATTGACATTCTTTTTGCCGGAACAGGCAAAGTAAAAATATTTTAACAAAAAAAGACTGACAGAATGCTAAAACTGCTTTTTGCTATAATTCCGCCGAATTTTAATTTTTTTCTCGTGATATGGCTGTATCATGTCATACGAACGGTGCGGGTAATGTGTCACGTTATTCTCACGTGACTTCGTGATTCTTTTTTTTTTTGATTTTCTGAGACTTTGTAAGGGGAGAGAAGAATTGATGGAAACGAGATACGCAAAGCTTGGGTGGCAAAATATAAATAGATTACAACGTTGATCCAGGTGATTACCTATATGGAAAGAGGAAAAGGATTAAAATATTGATATCCATCACTAACTGAGATATAGAATCGTCATTTGCAAGGGTATAGTTACTGTTGCTATACATATATTTTCTAAATCTATTCTTTCTTTTTTTTGACAAAGAGCCGATATGAGCATCACTATACATGTTAAATGTGGTCAAGATAACTGGGAAGTTACCATTGAACCAAGTGATACTATTACTCAATTGAAGAAAACTATTAAAGAAATAAGTAGTATTCCTGAAGAGAGTCAACGTCTGATATATTCTGGTAAAATATTAAAGGATCCAGAAACTGTTGAATCGTATAAGATTCAAGATGGACATGCAATTCATTTAGTTAAATCAGGTTTACATAAGAAAAATACTAATACTACTACTGCTGCTGCTGCTGCTGCTGCAAGCAGTAATAACAACAATAACACAACTGCATCTGTACCATCTAATATAGCTACAGGTCAAACAGGTGGATTTAATCCGTTAAATGATTTGACATCTGCACGTTATGCTGGTTATTTAAATATGCCATCTGCTGATATGTTTGGTCCAGATGGTGGAATGAATAATGTACCAAATCAAGACGAAATGATGAGAATGATGGAAAATCCAATAGTACAATCTCAGTTGAATGAAATGTTAAGCAATCCACAAATGATTGATTTTATGATTCAATCAAATCCACAATTACAAGCAATGGGTCCACAAGCAAGACAGATGTTACAAAGTCCCATGTTTAGACAAATGTTAACAAATCCTGAAATGATGAGACAAAGTATGCAATTTGCTAATATGATGAATGGTGGACAAGGTGCAGGGAATACTGACACTTCATCCGCATTCCCTGCACCAGGTGAAACTGGTCAAGACGCGACCACTACTGCAGATGCTTCTGAATCTCAAGATAATACAAATATTCCAGCTACACCTGCTGCAGGTAACCCATTCTCTGCTTTATTCAATCCTGGAATGAACCCATTTGCAAGTATGGGCAACGCACAACAGCAACAACAGACAACGCCTGCGTTTGATCCAGCTATGTTAGCCTCTATGTTTGGAGGTGCAGGTGCTAACTCAGCTGCTACTCCTGCACAACCACAAGATGACAGGCCTCCTGAAGAACGTTACGAGACACAATTAAGACAATTGAATGATATGGGATTCTTTGATTTCGATAAGAATGTTGCCGCTCTAAGACGCAGTGGTGGATCCGTTCAAGGTGCATTAGACGCATTATTAAACGGAAGTGTATGATACAGTTCTTAATTAAAATTAGAAAATTACCCATAAGTGTTCATGATGCGTTTCCTTATTAATATTATTATTACGATATACGTATGTAAGCAAAACAAAAACAGCCAAATACAATTGTGCAGATACATGAAAAATAAATAAATAAAAATACATATTTATATTTTTGGTCGATGACCTCTTATCTAGTATTGACTAAAATTTGATTTCATATTCAATTTGTAGAAAGTTGACGGATTACGAAAAAAAAGCAGGGGGCGCTAAGTGATGGGCTTCCCACAGAAGAAGAAAGAAAGGAAAAAAAGATATATAAATAACAATATAAACAAACAACGACAACAACGACAACCTCCGAGGTTTGAAAAGGTTTTAACAATAGTCTATATAGAGGTAATAATATCTGATCTAAGACTAGTCGACATTGTTTGTATACTAAGTATTGTATAGTTTTGTTCATCTGTAAGGAACATTTAAAGAGGGAGAAAAAATTAAAATTTAATTGGTCCTCATCGCAAATTGTATTATTATTATTTAGAACATTGAGAGCATTTTCTCAATAAAAGGTATTAGAAAATTTTGAAGCATTTATTTTCAACCTAGACCATGACAGCGCCTACTCCTGTGAATACAAGGGAGGGGTTACCATACCCAATTACCGTAGACCAGTTAATTGCTGATGTCGGAGATGATATCTCGAAGGGTGATAGGCTCTTTGCATATAAATTTTGGTATATTGTGGAAATGGCAAATTCTCCAGATGATAATGATTCAGCTGAAACAACAAAGAAATCTGTAAGGGAGTCTATTGAATTTTTTGAGTCCCCTTTTGAAGGAAAACTTCATTGTTGGAATGTCGAGGTCGGTATGGAAATTGCATCCCCAAATCAAACCGTGTGTCAAATTGTTAGACCTTGTAATCATGATATAGTGTACGGTGGCTTGTGTACAATGTGTGGTAAGGAAGTTGATGAAGCTGAACAACTAGCCATTGGTGGTGCTAATTTGGCTATATCACATACAGATCTTAATTTGAAAATTAGTAGGAAAGCAGCAAGTGATATAGGTCATGATATTAAGAAAAGATTAAGAAATGATAAAAAATTAGTTTTAGTGGTAGATTTAGATCAAACTGTAATTCATTGTGGTGTAGATCCAACAATTGGTGAATGGAAAAGAGATCCAACAAATCCAAATTATGAAACTTTAAAGGATGTTAGAATATTTTCATTGGAAGAAGAGCCAATCGTACCATTCATGTATATGGGTCCAAAACCTCCATTAAGAAAATGTTGGTACTATGTGAAAATAAGACCTGGCTTAAAAGAATTTTTCGCCAAAATTGCACCTTTTTATGAAATGCATATATATACAATGGCTACTAGAGCATATGCTTTAGAGATAGCGAAAATTATTGATCCAGATCATAGTTTATTTGGAGATCGAATATTATCTCGTGACGAGAATGGTTCAATGACTCAAAAATCTTTAGAAAGATTATTTCCTTCGGATCAATCCATGGTAGTAATAATTGATGATAGAGGTGATGTGTGGAATTGGTCTCCGAATTTGATTAAAGTCACGCCTTATAATTTTTTCGTTGGTGTAGGTGATATTAACTCCAACTTTTTACCAAAACAACAGTCAACGATGTTACAGATGGGTAGACGGTCAAGAACAAAAGTAAAAGAATCAGATGATTTATTGACGGATATAATAGATACAGAGAAAATATTGAAGGAGAAAATAGATGAAGAAGTTAAAAGACAAGAAGAAGAATTGAGCCACCAGGAAGGTCCAAGGAATGAGGAGAAACAATCGACAGAAACCAAAGAAGAATGGACCAAAAAATTAGAATATTCTGCATCTTTGGAAGTGCAACAGAAAAATAGACCTCTGGCAACATTGCAAGAGCATTTACAGAATCAAAAGCTATTAATTGATGATGACGATGAATTGTTTCATTTGAAAGATACTTTAGTTAGAATACATAGTACATTCTATGATAAATTAGAAGAAAGCCCGAACAACGATGCAATGGTCGATATTAAATATATTCTTCCTGATATGGAGAAAAAAGTCTTTGATGGTTGTCATTTTGTGTTTTCTGGTTTGATCCCATTGAACACAGATGTACAAAAAGCAGATATTGTAATATGGACCAATAAATTTGGTGGTACTACAGAAATTGATATAGATGAAAACACAACACATGTTGTAACAAAAACCCCTGGGACATATAAAGCCAGGTTAGCAAAAAGTTATAACCCTAAGATTGAAGTTGTACATCCAGATTGGATATTCGAATCATTGTCATCATGGAAACGTGTAGATGAGGCTCCTTATAGGTTAATTGTTGATCAACCTGTCTCCCCCGAAGATGTTGAGCAATTTAAGGAAAAATTGGAAAGGCTAAGAAGAGAACGGGAAGTTCAACATACTGCAAAGGATGAAGAGGAGTATGATGAATTTGCAGAAGATTCAAAACCACCCAACCCTGCTGACCTGTTTGCCAATGGGGATTCGTGGTTGAATGACGAAGATGAAGAAATCCCTTCTGATGAAGATGATGACGACGAAAATGAAAATAAATCAGAGACTACTTCAGAGATTAGGGGTAACAAGAGAGCTGTTCCTGAAGATGGAGATGACGCTGCTGCTACCAAGAAACCTCATGTAGTTGATGCTGAAGATGAAGTAAGTGACAGTGACTCCGATATGGATGAAGAGCTCCTCAACATGTTAGATAGCTGACTTGTGGTATATATCATTTTTAAGTAATTCCTAATTTTACCATAGTACGTACAGTATTTCTGTAACCATTAATCAATTAATTATTAGTTATATACGGTCTTCTCTGGTGTTAAATGCTTCGATTGATGCCTCGACAGAGTCCTTACTTCAGTATTACATATCCATAGATTCTTTTCGTTTTCTAGGCGCCGGCGCTGAAATCGTCTCTCGAGAGCAGGTTACCGCCGGTTCCCTGAATTGGTGAAATGGCAAAGCAAAGGGGTGGGGAAGATGAGGGCTATATAACACAGAGAGCAACTTTTAATTATTAAAGCATCAGATAAAGAATTACTTTAGGCTCTAGCTGCATTAATATAGTTCAGCCTGACTTGGTTTAAGAACACACTATAATAAAAAGAAAATGTCAATTGAATTAACTTGTCCTATGGAGGACATCCCCGATGATTTGAAGGTTCCAATCCTAAAATGGCTAGATCTCGACAAAAACCTTGAAACAATAAATGAGGTGATAGGCTTGTGTAATGACGGTAACTGGACAGAATTGCATAAAAGATTTGATAAAAGAATTACATTTGGGACTGCTGGATTGAGATCTAGTATGGAGGCAGGATTTAGTAGAATGAACTCTTTAGTGGTCCTTCAAACATCACAGGGTCTAGCAACCTATTTAAAGAAAATAAATCCTAATAACTTAACTTTTGTTATTGGTCATGACCATAGATTCCATTCGAAAGAATTTGCAACCGTTACTACAGCAATTTTCCTGAAAGCAGGTTTCAAAGTCTATTCTTTGAATCCCGATGATTCACTGGTTCATACACCATTGGTCCCCTTTAGTGTTGATCAATTGGGTGCAGCTGCTGGGGTCATGATTACTGCAAGCCATAACCCTATGATGGATAATGGTTACAAGGTTTATTATTCCAATGGCTGCCAAATTATCCCACCTCACGATCATAATATTGCCAAATGTATAGATGAAAATTTGGAGCCATGGGTTGACAAATGGGATTGGAAGATATTGCTTGATAAAGGTCAAGATGAGGGTATGTTAGAATATGTTAAAGATAGTATGACCACGAAATACCTGAACGCTATCGATGATTTGCTGATAGATAAGCAACTTGTCCCCAAACTATCTAGCTTTTCAAACAAGCCATGGTTCGTATATACTCCTATGCATGGTGTCGGCCATGAAATCTTTAAAAGATTCGCAGGGGATTTATTGCATTTAAACGATAGGGAAGATTATCTTTGTGTTCCTGAACAAGTTGAACCTGATCCAACTTTCAAAACAGTTAGTTTCCCAAATCCTGAAGAAAAGGGAGCCTTAGATTTGGCAATTGGATTAGCTGAAAAGGAAAATATTCCCCTAGTCCTTGCTAACGATCCCGATGCTGACCGGTTTTCTATTGCTGTTAAAGATGTTAGAACAGGTATCTGGAAACAAGTTTCAGGTGATGAGATCGGCTTCTTATTTGCAATATATGAGTTTCAAAAGTATCAAAAACTTGATGAGGACTTTAAAAAGAAACATCCGCTTGCAATGGTTAATTCTACAGTTTCATCGCAATTGATAAAGAGAATGGCGGAAGTTGAAGGTTTTCTTTATAATGATACTTTAACGGGATTTAAGTGGATTGGTAACAGAACAATAGATCTTGAAGAAGAGGGTTATTATATACCTTTAGGGTATGAAGAAGCACTTGGATATATGTTTCCAAGGATGGAACATGACAAAGATGGTATAAGTGCACTTACAGTGTTCTTACAATGTTATTCAAGTTGGATTTTAGATTCCAACAGATTTCCACTTGACATACTTGAAGATGGATTCGAAAAGTATGGTTACTTTAAGCAGTATAATGGCTATTATAAATTACCAAATCAAGAATTAATTAATGAAATTTTTGATTTCATAAGAAATAAATATGAGCCAAACGGAACATATCCACATATAATTGCTAGTCAGTTACATGTCACTTCTTTCAGGGATTTAACTGTTGGTTTCCAATCTGATACACCTGATAATAAGCCATTGCTACCCATTGACTCTACATCTCAGATGATTACTGTGACCGCAAAACCATCTTATGTTGAAGGAAATGAAGAAATTAGATTTACTATGAGGGGATCAGGTACTGAACCAAAATTAAAAGTTTATATAGAGGCATCTGCAGAAACAGAAACTAGAGCCAATTATTTGGCCAAGTTAACATGGGAGGTTTTGAAAAAGGAATGGTTTAGACCAGATGTCACCGGTTTGAAGACTGATTTTTAGTTCTGAAAAAAAAGGTTCATCGATATTCTGATTCTTATAGATAGAATGGTATTTATAACCTTGATATTCTAAATTAAATATTGTTTAAAGTATTTAAAATATGAAAGAAATTCTATAAACAAAAGATAATGTATAAAAATTTTAAAAACAAATGTACCCAATAGATCACACTTCATATTATAATATGATTTCGTGACATAAATAAAAAAAAAACCAAACAAATTAAGATTAACTTAAATCATTTTCTAACTCTGCTCTCTTTTTCATTCTTAATCTATGCTTCTTCCATAGATCTTCAGCCATATATGAAAAGGAAAATAGGAAACCAATGCCACCTAGACCAATACCTAAGTATAAAGCAGATCTATATCCACCCAATGTGTTGGTTCCACTCTTATTTATCTGTGCTTCTACGGTGGTACCCATACCTAAGAATAGCGATGTCGCATAGTTAACGATTGTATTGACAAGGGACCCAGCCATACCTTGGTATTCCATTGGAAGCTCATCACTTAAAATGATAGAAGAACCTGGAAAGGAGAAATCCATACCCATAGCTAGCACAATTTGCATCCCTAGACTATTTCTCCAATATGTTTGGCTAGGTGGAGTGACACTAAAAATTATACAACCACAAGTGAACCCAATTGATGACAAACAAAAAACAATGGATGGACCAATCTTCTTCATAAAAAATGCAACGAAAAAGGCAGCAAGTGTACCGAAGATAATAAAGATAAAATGTGTACTACCTGCCCATAATGGACTAAAGTGTCTCAAATTTAGATTGAATGAATAGTAATAAAATGTCCAAATACCAAATGAACCCCAACCAAAGAATAATGAGATAAGAATTGTTATAATGTGACGATTCTTTGTAACAGCAGGTGGTAGTAAAGGATGTTCAGCCCATTTTATTTCATATATAAAGAAAGCGACAAGTAATAAAGTTGAGATAATTAGTAAAACAATGATGTAAGCTTTTTGCCATCCATCGATTGGGCCTTGGTTCCAAACAAAATTAAAAATGATCAAACCTAGGACACCAATCACTGAACCGATCCAATCCATCTTGAAACCGTTGACGTTTGTAGGAATATTTTTTGGAACTGTGTATAAAATCATCAGTAGGTTTAAAAAGGATGCGATACCGTAAGCATAGAAAATCCAAGGCCATTGTTTAGGATCTTCATATACAATCAGACCACCCCATAAACCACCAAATGTTGCTCCTACAGGTGCCATACAACCAATTAAACTGATAACAATATTTTTTCTTAAAGAACCAACTTTGTAAATATTTCCTACTAAACCCATAATGTTAGGTAAAACTAAGGAAATACCTAAACCCTGGAATGATCTGCAAACAATAAAAAATGCGTCACTTCCAGAATAATCAGCGAAACCACAAATCAATGACCATATAGTCATTATGATACAACCCCATATCAGCACCTTTCTAAGACCATAAATATCACCAAGTCTCCCACCGACCAAGATAAATGACCCGGATACTAAAGGAAATGAAGCCATCAGCCACGGTTTCTTTTTGTCGTCTGAATTAAAGGCATCAGAAATGACATTCATAGTGGACAAAACTTGTGTTTGACCAGCTTGATTCAGTAAATTGGCTAACATACAAGACATAATAAAAATATATTCTTTTGTATTTGAGTTAAAGTAGGTTGGGTTTTGCCATTTTGAGCTTTTTAACGATGTAGTATCGGATGATGAACCAGAGCTAGTCTGGTAATCCTCAGAATCTTCTTCTTCCTTTTTGTGAAGATCAAGATCAGAGTCATCCCTAAGCTCATATGTATAGTTATTTTCCTTTAGTTGGTTTACAATTTCTTTGTCCTCGAGAACAGTGTTATCGACTTCCACATCTTCTTCGAATGAAGTTTCTGAGTTATTGTTTTGTTGTTTCTTTTTGGAGAAGGGTTTAAACATATTCTATTTTTTTTTAAAGTGTGAATAGTTTAACTTTTATTCTTAATTTATTTATTTGTTTTTGTTCTAATTTTCTAAAAATTAAGTTTTTAATGAGAAAGAAATGGGAATAGGTGATATCATATCATTCGAATAATGGTCCAAAATGTCTCGACTTATATACATTTTGTTTATTTGTTTATTTTCTTGGGAACGATTAAAATAATACAATCTTGGCGCATCCTCAGATATCCAAAAAGGGTTAAACTACCTGGCCTTTGTTGTCATGCGAGAAGATACATATTAAATTTATTAGTACTAAAACCTCGTGGCTTAATGACAGTTGCCCCAGCAACAACACGAAACACGTCGATTCATCCCTCAAAAGAAATAAAACACAAAATACGCGTAAACATATAAACAAAAAACTCTCGTGGACATAGTACGAATTGCTCAATGGACCCCCTGACGCGTAAATAATTTGATTTGGGATCTAGGAGTTGCTATAGTTACTTACAACTTTAATTATTCATTTTTTCATTTTAAAGTAGAATTAGTGCACCCATCGTTACCTTTTCGAGATATTTACAATTGTGTTGCCAGGCCGACGCGTTTACAAACGATTTCTTTTTTTTGGCGTCCTCCGTGAATTTCTTTGGGATAGCTGTAATGTTACAGAATTTATTTCTAACAATTATGTAATTCTTACTAAAAGCGACCATTCGTGTGGGTTTACTTGGCAAAAAAAGAGAAATCGCTTTACTCATTTCATCTAATAAACGGTTGGTTAAATAATTTGTCATTTTTAGTCAGTATCTGGTAAAAAAATATAGGTGCTATTTAACCTGTATGAATATTTGTATATATATATATATATTTATGTGTGTAGAATATTGTATAATATTGTTCTTAGTAGTATTATGACCAATGTTTGGTAATGAAGCGTTCGTTGGTTTGTTCTACGGACTATCAATAGGATAGGTTTAATTGTAGGATATCACATCTCCTTGAAGTACCTTATATACTATAAACGACAGACAATTATTTCGAATTCTGCCACTGATACAGATCATTGGCAGCATCAGTATTTCTCTTTCTTCTCTTAGTAGGTCTATGCGAATTATCACTTGGCATAATATCTGTACCATTATAAGTGTACCTACGAGGAATATCTAACATTAGCTCATTATTACCGGCAAGGTGATTGTCCATGTTGTCCACTGTATCGTTATTTATGTTATTAGTTGTGTTTCTTCTTTGCGTATTATTTGACTGTTGTACTATGTGAGGAGTACCATCTATCGATTTTGGTGTCGCAGTAGAATCATTAACTAATAGAGGTGCCAAACCTAATGAACCGTCAACAATAAAATCATAGTTTGAATTGTAATTATTTGCCTGTTGTCCATTATAAGATGGATAATCTCCTTGTGGTTTTGATGGATCTGGAATATAGTTATTTTCGTTGTACTCATGGGTATTTGTATTAGTTTGTTGGGAGTTACCATTAAAAAAATTATTAATATCGCCAGAAGAAAATGCAAAATCGTTATTTAAAAACATCATCATTGTGGATAAATTGTTATTAGACATCTTAGAAGGCCTTGAACCACTGTTATTGTTGATATTCTCATTATGAGAAAGAGAATTACCAAATTCCATATTATTGTGGTTGCTATTGTTCTCGTTAGCACCCTCTGACAATTGCTGTAGTGAAGCTATGAAATCCCCGCTACTTGGGATTCTAAAGAATTTATCTATCGCACTAAATGAATTGTTCAAACTGTTTGCTATATCTTTGGTGTTAGAAGCTCCATTAGCATTCGTAGCATTATTTTCCTGATTGGAAATTTGGTTACTTTTCTTGCCAGGATTAGTATTGGCAAAGAGACTCCCCAAATCAAAATTACTAAATTGTGAACGATTAGAATTTAGGACAGGATCCAATTGGAGAGCCTCAGCAAAAGCAGTTTGTGTTGATTCCGGATCTAGGTTATTACCTCTTATCGGCTGTAACAAGTGTGCCGTCTCTTCGTGTTTAATTTCAGGTGTATTTATTAGAAGGTCACTGGTCTCAGATTTAACATTATTCTTCAAATTTTCTTTGTTTATTTGTTCAGAATTATTATTGATCTCAGTTTGGTCTTTTTCAACTTTCTTGTTTGAACGTTTCTGAGATTCGATATTCTTAATAGTAGGTTTACCCATTAATTTATTGTAATAGTTTATCTTCCTTTGTAAAAACTTCTCCACTTTTTCAGGTTTCATATTAGTACCTTGTAGATATAAGTTAATTGTAAGATCTAGAAGTTTTAAACTATGAAAAGAAATAACACCTGGTAAATCCAATTTTCTATCGTTCTCAATAGATTGAATAATATTCAATAATAATTTTTTGTTATCAATGTATAGTGAACCTCCCTTTATATAGTCAAGTGATCCTTGAGCGCTCATGACAGAAAACCTAGCTAATGTTCTTGAAGAATCAATAGGTAGGGCAAAATATGTGGAACTAATAGAGTTAAAAGCTGAAAGCATAGTGTTTATTGCCTGTTGTAGCGAAACAAATGCCGATGATGATCTATCCAATTTATCAGTTTTGGGGTCACGATTAGCATCTATCACTATTGGTTTACAGGCTAGAACAGGTAAATGGATTATCGATTTAGCCAAAAAATAGAGTATAATCAGTAAAGTGTTTTCGTTACCTTGATTAAGTTGGTCCATATCGATTGTGCCGGTAACATCGAGTTTAAATTGATATTTTGCTGGAAGTCTAAATCTCCAATTATCCAAAGCATTTTCATGGATTAATGCAATTTGTTTCGTTATTGATTCAGACATATTTCTTTTGAAGATAATATCTAAAATATTGCCCATTACTTTTGCAAATCTAATAATTGCTAATGAAAATTGCGATACAGTACCTTCTAATTTAACTGTAGTTGGAGACATCCCTTGGCCCCGACTTAATGGATCATCTTCATCATCTTGTTCAGAAGACATACTCATACCATCTGTGGTTGCACCAATTGGCAGAGCACATTCGATTTCGTGATCTTTTATTAATCTAGGGACACCCAACTGTAAGGATGCAAATACATCTAAGTAATAAATTGTCCAAAAAAGGATTCTTCTATTACTTTGTTCAAACTTATTCATTGTAGATCCAGATCCAACAAGGACAGCACTAGGACAACGATGTAACCTTAATTGTTGAGACATGGAAATAATTTTACCTCTCAATGAATAAATTTCAAGAATATCACCGGTATTTAAATGATAATAAAGTATCATAGATAATAATTGTAAAGTCTTCACGGAAGTAGTAGAGAAGACAAAATAAGGGTTTCTTGGGAAATAATAGATTAATTTGTGAAAGTATGCAGATATATTATGAATATTATCACCTTTATTGTTGTTATTTTTAATTTTAATCAATAGACCCATTTGACAAACAATCACTAATACTGTCGCAAAAAATTTATAATTGAAAGTTCCGATTTTATCCTGATTAAATATTTTATTTTTATCATTATTCATTTCAAATATACCTTTCTTAAAATCACTATAATGTAAGAAAAATTCTTCTCTATTGAGAACGGGTATTAAATTAGACCAATGTTTAAAATATAATTGTATTAATTCATCGATATCATGGAATCTTAAATAAAAATTTAATGAAGTATGCATTGTATGATCTTGAATTACAGTATCCTCATCTAAAATATCTAATCTCATAACTTCTTTCAAAAAATGATGTAGATCATCAATATCCCATAAATTTGTACGCTCTATAAAGGAAAAATTCATTGATTCTGCAGCTAAAAAATCATTATCATTATTTTTAGATTTAATATAATTTGGTTTTGGAAGATCACTTTTTAAAGACGATAATAATGTCACAGTATATAAACTTTGTTTTGAAGTAAATCCAAAAGTTTGTTTAATTTTTGCCATTAATTGTGGAATAAATAAAATCTCCTCTGTAGATCTAGGTATTGATAATGATACTAAAGTAGCTAGTTGTGTTGAATTTTCATGATTTCTAATTTTTTTCAAAGCTTTTGCAGCTGTTAGACCAGGAGCTTCATCTTGTTCAAACGATATCGTTGTTGGATCATTTAAATTTGTTGTTGCAACGGGTTTTGCATGCATCTTATTTTCTAATGACTCTCCTCCAGATCCAATATTGGACGTTACTTTACTATTTAAGTTATCCTTAGGGTCTCCATTTTTATTTACTGTTGTTATTAAACTATGATTATCACAACATCCACTATTACAAATATGGTTATTACTTTGCGTTGAAGAAGTATGATATTTAATATCAACTGCATCTAATGGATTTATCGGAGATATATTATTTGAAGTTTGATCCGTATCAGTCATAGATTTATTAGAAAATTGAGATTGGTTCATATTTTGATTTTGTTCTTCATCATGAGGTTGATCTGTTATATTACCTTGTTTTATAATATCATGAGTCTGTTGAGATAATAAAACTAAATTTGTTTGAGAAACATTTAGTACACCTTTATTATTTGATGTATTTGTTAAGTTAATTTTTTTATCATTATCAGTTGAATTATCTTTAATATTATCTGAATAATTAGATTCATTATCTATTAAATTTTTATCATTATTGTTCTCATTTGTTGAAGAAGAATAATTTGTTACAATATTGATTTGTTGTTCTTTTAAATCACAAATTGCCAATAATCTTCTATTTTCTGCTTCTAATTCTCTTACACGTTCTTCTAAACTTTCGGTATAACCTCTTGGAAATGATTTTCTGATTAATTTATCACTAACTTTACATTCAAAACCAACTGCAGCACATTGTGAACATTGTGGTCTTTTCCCATCACATCTGGTCTTTTTTGACCTACATCGATCACAAGCTTGAGCAACTCTAAATCCTGTACCATTATTATTTGTAGTATTATTTGTAGAGCCTGTATCCTTCACTAGTGCCACTGACGTTGAATCTTCCCTATCGGAAGTCATACTTGTCTTGTTTGACATTACTTGTGCGTATCTAGTATATGTATTTTGTTGTTGTTGCTGTTGTTATTGTTATTGTTATTGTTATTGTATATTTCTTATCGCCTCTTTCAATATGTGATAAAAGTCGGAAGCTGGGTATATCTATTTGATATAGAGTCTTATAAGTTAATGAAGAAAAAAAAAGAACAGGCTGCAAAAAGGTTCGAAAAGAAAATAAATAAAATAAAAGGGCTGTAAGTTAAGAAACGTTTTGGCAAAAACCGAAAATAAATGAATAAATTCGACGTTTTAAGAGGGTTTTTTCTATTGCACATTGCATACTGTCTTAAAATTGCAAAGCAATCATCTCTATCACCTGAAGGGTCAAACACCCAAACCCTCTGCACTTTCAGCTCCAGAGAGTCTCTTCTTTATCACCTTCCAATTAATATTAGAAACTATTGCTGCTCTCCTGTAGGCAGATCTTCCACCGTCGTTGTCTCCCCATGCAGTGCAGCACCCTCACGGAGAATGCTGGGGGGGAGTGCTTTCAGTATATGCACGCACAAAGCAATCTTTGCTGGAAAGAAAGCCCTTTTGTTCACACGTAAATTGTTGCTGTTGTTGTTGCTGCTTTGAGGGGGGCGTTGGTTGCTGCTTGTACGTGAACTTAATCATATCCGCTACGTTTGCCGCATTTTAATGCGTTCTCTCCGAACAATCGGCCGCACAAACTGTATGTTCCCCACGCTGATTGGTCAACTGCATCGACGTAGAATGGCACGGCTGTGCGTTCAGGGAATTTATCGCAAAGAAACAATTGGCTACGCGTGCCGTCTGCCGTGATGTGCGGGTAACGCACTGTTCTCTCGTTTTTGGTTCTTTTTTGGTTTCGTCGTCCCTGTGAAGCTTCCTCAAGCGCCGCGGAAATTCGTTTGGTGTTGATTTCCCCCCCCTCTCTCCCTCTCTTCTCTACCGGATCTTAGATCGAAAATGTGTCAAGTTAGAGATTACCTAAGTTTAGGAGAAAAGAAACTGACGGTAGATATATATTTTATATAGGTGTAGATGTCGTTTGTATGTGTGTATGTGTGTGTGTGCTTTCCACTTTGCGTTAAACTGATTGGTAGGCATAGTTATTATACAATATATCATGACACCATATATAACGTTTAGATTAATAAAATTGACATTGTACTCATGGTTTTTCTATCTTTTACTATCCAGCAGAATACAATTATCTAATAATGCATCATTGAATGCTTTCACTAAATCCCATAAAGTCACATCTCCAAAGGTAATGAACATATTGATTGCTCATCCTGATGACGAAGTAATGTTTTTCGCACCAACTTTATCACAATTACAAACTTTAAATCATACTAACTTATCATTTAATATTTTTTGTTTTTCAAATGGTGATGCTGATGGATTAGGTTCAATAAGAGCTAAAGAATTAAATGAATCAATCTCTTTACTATTAAGAGGCCAACAATATTCTGTTCATTTGTTCGATCATAAAGATGGAATGAATGAAACTTGGGACGAAAATTTAATGTTATCACAATTGGAAACTGTAATCGGAGATATTGATAATCCTTTGATTCTAACATTTGATTCAAAGGGTGTCTCGGGACATGTGAATCATAGAACATGTCATTCTGTAGCAATGACTTATAAATCATTACATCCAGGTACTGCTTTGTTTCTTTTAGATAGTTATGGCAATAATATCATTAAAAAATATTCGGCATTTGTATTTGAATTAATGAAAGTTATATTAACATTCTTATTAGAACTGTATGAAAAGATTTTCCAAAATAAATTTCTTCCAACTTTCTTAATTCATTATTATAATCAGCATACAAATAATGATAAATTAACATTTTTCATTCCATTCCCAAAATATGCGTTTGCTTATGCCACCATGTTAAATGCTCATCAATCACAAGTTGTTTGGTTTAGATACGGTTGGTGGGCTTGTTCTAGATTTGTTTTCGTTAATGATTTACATGTAGTATGAATATTTATTTTTAATTTCTGTGCTTATATATGTATGTAGGTATGTATATTTACAAATGGCAACCTTATTATTCAATGGTTATTAAACTTTTGGGTTTTTTCACTGATTTATTAAAATGGTATTACCATAATGAACCAAGTATCATGTCATCATCAACCATTTCATCGTAACTCTTATTCGTCTGTTTGTTATTTTTCAACACAATTAGATAACTTGAAAACTTACGTAACATTCTTTCATTATCACTATCAATTGACCATTGAGTAATAAATTCTTCAACTTTATTATAATTTTTCTTATTAACTAAACGACGAACAATAAATTTTTGATATTTATTGATAATAGACCATTCATTATTATTAATCTTGTTTCGTTGTTCGTAGAATTCAGAAAAACAACTTGTATAAACAGCAATACAATCTTTTAAATTCTTAGTTCTCTCGAAGATTCTATAAAGTTCTTCTACAATAGAATAGTCAAATGGAATAGTTTTTCCTCTCATCAAATACCATTGCTTCATAGTATTCCATCCATCTAATCCATTTTCATTGCCAACAGCAAAGTTCTTATTACCTCTCTTGGGACTACTACCTTCTAACACTAAATGTCTCCAAAAATTTATATTAAGATTAATCTTTGGATATCTTTCAATTAGCGCATTTAAAAATTTATTTGCTTCATGCATACCATCAGAATAAATATAACAAATAATTTTCATTAAAGCAATAACGACCTCAGAGTTAGGTGCTTTGTAAATCTCTCCGTCAATAAAATGAGGACCTTGAATAGAAATCCCCCATTTCTTCATTGTAAACTTATTCAATAATTCTATTCTATTCATCTTACCTAAACTATAACAAATTTCTGTATCCCAATAGGAAAAATTGTTTTTTAAACTATAATCTAATAAATTAAAGATATAAGTATTGTCAATTATTTCATATGCTCTATCCGTATACCACATTTCAGAAAATGATCCACAACGAACTTTTAAATAATTTCGAACAGTCGCAATATCTCTTGCATCGCCAAACACCAATGAACCGTCCAATTTAATTAAGTCCGTTAAAACGTCATGGGCTCTCTTTAATCTACCCAATTTCAAAAACATATCCAAAAATAAATTGGTATCTCGAAGCTTAAGAGAATCTAACTGTTGAGATTGGTTCATTATACCTTGGTATTCATAATAAACTTGATCAAGATTCTTTATGAAACCTGTCTTGTTCGGAATGACCTTAACTCTGGACATTTCATCTAAATATTTGGAGAAATCACCATATTTTTTAGTGATACCATTGACTATTAACTTTGAACTAGAAGCATTGCCAGTTGATTCTGTTTTGTAAAATCGATGTGTTTGAAAAGGTCCATTCAAAGTCATCTCTTTTGGAAAATATAACACATTTTGACTTGCTAAGTTGGTGATCCCTTTTGAAGCCACCACTGGCCGACTTCTAAACAACATCAAATTGCGCTGTATATTTATATCGTTATGGATGTAGGGCCTAATCGAATATCCAAAGTGCAATATATTGCTTCTCTTTAGTGACATTTTAAATGTTTTTTTTGCAAAACTGCGTAACGACTACTTGTGATGTGTCGAGGTCTATATTTCTTACCCATTATCTCAAATTTATGCAAGTCCCCAAGTCAGTCAAAAGCGCGCGCGCCTTCAAGAGCCCCTCCCCCCAGCTACTCTTCCCATTCACAACGAACTAGTCTATTTGTTTGATATAACATGTTACTATAAAGTTTTATAAAGAGATATTTTGAGATATAGGTTCTACATAAGGAAACTGTTAACACTATTCAGTGTTGCCCTTGAAACATTAATGTTTCGTCCGTTGAGACATGTAATTAACTGCGAAAGATGTTTTCTTATTACGGTCTTCGTTATTAAAGGTTCTCCAATTGGATCGAATTTCCAATCTTGAGAGTAATCTTTACATAAAACACTTAGTATGACACCTATAGATATATCTGCAGCTGTATTGCAACAAACTAATACTTTTGAACCTTCTGAAATTGAAGTATGAATAGTGTCGTATATTCCAGGAAGCTTTGCTCTCAAATCTTTGGATGATTTCTTAGACCCACTTTGTAAATTGTATATTTGAACCAAAGCATCTAAGTTATTTTCATCAGTCTCTAATTTAACATTATTACTTAATAATATTACTAAATCGTACTTCTTAGATAGTTCCTGATATATTCCTTCGTTTATGATTGAATTTTCCACTATTTTGCCGAGGTATAACCTTTCTGTAATTTGTTCAATGGGTTTAATTATATCATCAATGTTGTCCTTCAAAGATACCTGTTCCATTGTTTTTGCAAGAACTAACTCTTTGATATAATCTTTCAATTCATCTACATTGTGTGTAGTATCTGCCAGGTAACCATAATGTTCCCAAAACATCAGTGGGGTGAGACCTTCTGACCATAATTCGTGGTCATCTGCAGCACCTTGAACATAAGTAAAACCATTCCTTTTATCCATACCATCTTGAGCTTGGTAGCTCACTGTGCATAAGATCAAGGGTATAATATTTTCATTTTCTGGTACTTCCCATTTTGAATCAAGGATCTCTCCTGTAAAGGGATCCACTGAATTTTGTAATATTGATGATCCAGGATAAACCCAAATTGGTCTTAGAACTTTCCCATTCATGGAATCATATAATTCTTTCCCATTTAATGCACCTAATGTCTTCATTTTTTCCACCAAATTTGGTAATTTTAATTTTATTGAATGATATTCATTAGCAGAAACTGTGACGGGAGGTACAAATAATATATCTTCTGTATCAAAGTCAACACCAGCACTTTCTAGCATGATATAATTAATTACAGCACACCATATCGGTACTGTCTTGCTTAAAGAATCAGGGATCTTTTTACCACGCCGAGTACTATCCACGATAATAATACCACCTTTCTCTTGTAGTGTAGGGAAAAGATGGAAATTTAACCTCCTAGTACTAAAATCCCATTGATTTGTATGTCCGTCGGTACTTTTGAAATAACTAGTTTGATTATATGTCTGAGGATTACAATACCATAGCCCACATCTCTCATTGGGTATCAAGGGATAGTTTTTGAATCGCTTCCTGACTTGATTTTCTAAAAATCGATGATCATATGAAATACTCTGTAAACGATTCCTCAATGATTTGTTCTCCTTCCTGATATCCTTATTCAATTGCGCAAGTGTTTCATTCCAACTAGGGTTTTCCATCCTCACGCAGAATCGTTAGATTGATAATGAAATCCATATTCAGTCTTCATTTGAGCGAAACCCAACTTGTCAAGCTTGAATGAATCGCTTTCCTATATGAATAAATAAGTTGCATTTCAGAAGTTACGTTGCTCATCGCATTAAATTTTTGTCACGAAAATGGAAAGCGTTCTACGAAAAAATGAATACAGTGAATAAATGACTATTTAACTTACCTTGCATTTAATTATATACAACTTGTCATATTAGCGATTGATATATCAACAAAAACTATTATTGAATTTGTATCCCAATAGAAAAGTAGGAATTGTCTACGGTAATTTTTTTACTAAATTAAATACCCATTCTAAGTCGTCAAATATGTCAGCAACACTTGATATTAAACCATTGGTAAGTTCACATTATGCAACTGAACAACCCTATATGGAAGTTCAACTTCATGAATGTATTATATATTGTATTGAATTGACTCCAGATATGTTTCAAAGTGTGGAAGAATTGAATGGGAAAATTCAACTGATTGAAATTTTGGAGTCAATAAAAGAACTGATGTCTCAGTTGGTGATAGTGAAGCCAGGGACTGCTATTGGTTGTTATCTGTATCATTCTGGTAGAGATACAGATGGTACTGGTATATACGAGTTGCTCCCATTACGAAATATAAACATTGGATCTATGAAGAAATTGAATGATCTATTATATGACTTCGAAAACGGTTCGGACCCTGCGACTTACTTCAAGTATAATTCAAAAAATACGGTAACACTTGAAACTCTATTCATGTACATACAAGAAAAATGTGGCGTAACAAACCCAAATAAAAACAAATACGAAGCTAAATCTGTTTTTTTATTTACAAGTAGAGATTCTCCAAGTGAAATAAATGATACAGAAACAGTGCAGAGATTGAAAAGAATCGTCGATGATATGACTGAAAATTTTATTAATTTCGTGCCATTTTTTATAACTGCTAAGAGCATTCCATTTAAAACAGAATTTTATAACGATGTATTACGTTTTAATTCCAGAGCTTGGTCGAACAAATCAAAATTTTGGAAAGTGAACTTCGAGCCAATTACGGCGTCTTCAATCAAAATGAGAGTACGCCATAGAAAGGAGTTGAAGAGAATTTTATTTACATGTCCTTTAATTCTTAATGAAAAGAAAAAATTTGTGGTGGGCATAAGAGGTTATAATATTCTAAGTCATGAAAAACCAGGGGCACGTTATAAATTAGCATACGAGAAAGAAGACGTTAGATATGAGGCTTTCTCTCGTAGAAAATATTTGGATCCTATCACGGGCACAGTAGAGGATAAGGATAATCTGCGTAAAATTTATTCAATTGGAGATCTCAATCTTGATATACCGGATGACAAAATATTAAACCTGGGAGAAGATGTGGAGGAATATGCTTCATTCCTGAAACTTATTTGTTTCAGACCATCATCTCTCTGCATCAAGTTTTATAATAATATTGATAAAACTATGTTTATTACGTCCGATGATAGGAGTTACGAAGGATCATTTGAAACTTTATCATCTCTCTTTAGAACAATGAAAGAAAAGGATAAATGTTTGATTGCTTGGGGTAATATCAAAAGTAATTCGAATCCAGCACTTTATGTGATGTCACCATCCTATGATCCAGGTTTATATGGTGGATTCTTCCTCTGGAAGATACCTTTCGTGGATGAGATCAGAAAGTTCCCACCTCTAGCTACTTATAAAAACATCGAGCAATCAACAGATTATAAAAATTTTTGCAGGATTACAGAGAACATAATAAGCTTCCTCACCTTGAAAAAAGGATATGACCCAGTTGACTATAAAAATCCCGGACTTCAAAAACATTTTAAAGTTTTAAGAGATTACATTTTACAAACGCCAGCCCCTGATACAAGTGATATTACTTTGACAGAAGAGGACGATACTCTTCGGAAAATTATCAATGTGAGGGAAAATATTCTTGCATCAGCTTCTTCTGAAGACCCCCAACTTCAGAGGTTACATAAATATGTCAACGTATGGAATGTTCTCTATTCAAAAATTGCTGATGAGGAAAACTTAGGTGTGGGGGTTGTTAGAAAATCATCAAAGAAAACCAAACCGACTTTGAATTTATGATTCCCATATGAGTTAAAAGGAAATGACTAAAATTGTTATATGGCTTTATGTCTTTTAGATAAGCAGTTATGTATTTAAAGTAGTAGTTCAATATTACACACCATACTTAAATGATCACTTGCATATTCCCCAGTATGAGGTTGGCCATGACCAAACTTCTCCATTTCAGACTTAGGAGGCATCCGTAAGAGTCCTCTGATTTTAATAGAATGATTAGTTTCAAAATCTTCAAGTGTTTCAGCATGTTCTCTATCAGAAAAATCCCATGAATCGATGTAAAATAAATAGTCTAATAATCCGTTCCAGGTATGTGCCCAATTTGATATCTCGGGTTCGCCCCTTGCGTTATCTAATCCAGCATTTTCTGGATGGACTCTGTTATACCCAGTAGCATACAGTGATATTGCTCTCATATCTAGTGAATTGTGTAATTCCTCCATCTTCTTAACTAATCCAGACTGTTCTGGTGTGGCATCGAATGCTGCCGGAACCGGTGTCTGGGGTTGGTCCTTACCAAATTTTTCAATATTTCCTCCTTCTTCTTCATCAGCCCCACTTTCCCCTTCTCTTAATTTAGAGAATTTATAAGAAGTACTACATTCTATTACAGTTTTAGCTCGTCCAGCATATTTCACTGGTTTTGATGTCATTGAAAGGTAAGGCGTATCAAAAGGCTGGGAGTTAAAATCACCACAGAAAAATGGGATCCAGTGATCTTTCTGACCATCGTTATTATTTTGTAGAACATTAACTCTGTGTAAAAATTCCTTTACCTTGTTTAAAACTACGTAACATTGTCTTGTTCTCTCATATGTCCCGAAAGGATGCCAGAATAGATGTGTTGTACCGATAAGAATTCCGGATTTGGTGGTATTAGGGAATTGTTTGAGCACTTTGTCACTAAACTTCAATGCTAATATTAAGCCTGCATTATTCGTTGTAGTACGGGGAGGTATGTTACCAGACGCCTCTTTGTCATAGTCAATGAGCATTTTATCAGTTAAGGTAAATAACTCACGTTTCCAAACTATTGCGACACCGTGGTTTTTAGAAGCTTTGCGATGAAATTGACTTTCATAACCAAGTTTACCAAATTCTTCCTTCCAGAAACTTTGATACTGAATATGATCGACTTCTTGTAAACAAATTACATCGGCTTTGTAATGCATAAATTCGTAAAGCAAGACCTTTGATCTTCTGAACCACTTCAAGGCATCTCCACTATCAGGAAACAGTTTTCTTCTAATAAGTGCTTGAGCTAAACAGTTATATGTCATTAAACTAAAATTGAACCCTGATTGAGGTTCGCCCTTATGAAGTTCCAACAAAGGGCGTCTAATGAACTGTAGTTCGGGTGGACAATTGGTAATCGATCCTTGTGTGAGTAGTGCTTCCTCCTTAGCTTTACGTTGAGTCGCCCTCTCCTCACGAATTCGTGCGATCTCTTCAGGGCTGGGAGGTGTTCTTTTTCCTTTGCCTTTCTTCTTCTTATTCTGATTTTCTTTCACCTTGCTTGGTTCAGAAGTAGTAGTATCGACGCAGTTAGATATGGCATTCTTTATACCGGCAGGTTCCGTATTGTGCAGAGTATTCTCGTTTACTTCAACAGTCATATTTGATAAGAAATGTTTAGGTTGGAATCTTTCTTCTTGTCTAGATCTTTGAGTGGTGTAATTTGAAATATTATTGTTTTCTCGATAAATTGGCTAAAAAATTTTCACCTAAATAAAATTCAAAATGACGTAAATAATAAGGCCGAACATACATAAATAATATGCACAACTATATATTACGGAACAAGCCATCTGTAAGAATGATGAGGTTCTGAACTCTAGTAGATTTTAGGTTGCAAGTATTCCGTTGTAGTTTAGATGGTTCTTATTTACTTAAAAAAATTGCATTTTATACGAATATTTACTGAATCTTGTATATTAGTATCAATTTGAATAAGAGCTAAACGTAACAAAATATAAAAGATACAAATGTTAATATATTTTTTTTAGATCTTCTTTCAGAACTAATCTAGTGTTTAAAAATAAAAAAATGTTAATTCAGTTATATAATCATATATATGCAAAACTTTTTTTTATATACAAGGTTTTTATGATTAACTATATGTCTAATGCTAAAATGCCCTCTATAGGCATTATTTTTGTAATCTTACACATTTTAATACTTTGACCAATAAGTGGAGGTGCTTTCTCCTTACTCAATTTTAATATACCACGGGAATATGAATAGTTCTCTATCATACATTTAACTGTACCATTAGTAGGAACAGAGAGAACTACCACATCAAATGTTGTATCTGGTTTTTTTTTTATAATCTTTTCTAAATACTTTAATGTCCAATATGTGTTCACAGAGCGGGCACTACGTTTAGTAATATCTGCTCTCGATTGAAATCTCCAAATCATATCCTTTATCTTGTCTTGTGAAAATAATGGAATTTTACCTTTTAAATGACGATGTAATTGAAGATGATTAACAAGGTCGGGAAATCTTCTTAAAGGAGATGTCACCGTAAGATATTGAGAAGCCCCAATCATTGCATGACTCAATGGATCGGCCGAGTAAAAACTAGAGTTGAGGAACGATGATATTTTTGTAATATCCTTGAACGTAGGGTAAAACCCATTTTTAACTTTCTCTTGGAAAACATTATATTGACGGAGTGCTTTTGAAGACATTTCTAAATTACTATAGCATCTAAAAACACCAGGAATATTATATTTCTTGAAATACTCACCACACAATGAGTTCGCAAGAATCATGAACTCACTAACCAGAACTGTAGAAGACGTCTCTCTCTGATCTTCAAAATCAATATTTAGTATCTGCTCGTCACTCGCTTTCTCAGTTAATTTTGGCAAGCCTCTGTTAAAACCTTCGCCAAATATAATAGCATTATCATTTTGAATTCTATTACGACGTAAGTTGAACGCTATCTGATATAAATTTCTTATATCATCGAGCATCGCTGGATTTACTTTTTTAGACCCACCTAATATTTTGTCAATATCGTTGTAGGTAGCCCGTGGAAAGTTTGAAGTATAGCTGAGGGAAATATTAAAGGTATTTTTCAGTACTTTAAGACTACCTTTGTCTGAGTCAAAGGATACTTCCACTGCAAACGTTATAGTTTTACTCTTAGATCCATCTTTACCTAAATCTGCCGCTTGGCTAAACGACTTTGGAAGCATGGGGTCAACATTATCCGGTAAATACGAGGTGAAAGATTTTTCAAATGCCATATTCAAGGTTTCATCAGCAATTTTGTTGGATATTGATTCATCATCACATTCGGGGAAGAAGGATGCAGGGTCTGCAATATGAATTAGTAATTCGGAATTCCCCGACTTTAGTTTTCTAATGGAAACGCCATCATCTATTTCATGCGCATCTTCAGAATCTATACAATAAACCGGCATTTCTGTGTAATCCTTTCTTAGATCATCGCCATTACTATTTAATGATGGCTTCACAATGTCATATATAAGTTTATTATCCTGAGCCAAATGGGATGAGATAGGTAGTGCCAGATCATCATTATAATGCAATGGATTGACATGAACTTCCGAGGGTTTAATCGTCTCAATTAACTCTTGGCAAACATCCTTGCAAATATCTGAGTCTTTATATTTACCTATTTTTCTAAAGATTTTTGAGATGAATGATATCATCTGGGGGTTATTATGGAAATTACCGGCACAATAGTCCCGAAGAAGATCTAAATAATGAGGTAACTGATTCTGTATCTTTTCATACTCCCTATTATTAAATAATGAGGCGAATTTGTTAATTTCTTTAAAATTTTTTTGTCTCATCTGACCTAATATTTCAGAATAATAGTAGTGTTGAGATTTTAGAGGTAGGACTGTAACAGAAATAGGGGAAAATAAAGCTGAACTGGTATGTATCTTTCCCCAAAGGTTATAGCCCTGCTGTTCTTTTATTGCCCAGTATGTGGCAAGAAAAGTGGCACTATCAATTCTTTCATTAGTCACCCCTGTGATTTTTGAGATTACTTCTTGTACATCAGCTGGCTTTATCTTATCCAGGTCGATAGATTGGACCATTTGACATAGTTGAACAAAGGATATTTGAATAGCACCACGGGGTTCATTCAGATAACGATGTAGTAATTTCAGTTTTTTAACAACTAGCGGTAACTGATTCCATGCTTCTGTAGAGATTCTGAAAGGAAGAGTACTAGTAATCAATTGATTTGCTAATAGTGGAGTCATAAATGTTTCATCTCTTGAGTTTTTTACTTTACCTATAGGTGCATATTCATGATGTGATTCTTTTTTCACTAACTTATGTACTTCCTCAGGTAGCGCGTAAGGAATCCTTAACATAACTGCATGTTTAGTTTCAAATACAAGTTCCCCATCGACCAAGATAAAAGTATAACGAGGATCCGTCACGGAGTCAGGTAGAGCTACACACATGGCCAATTGAGTCGCGGTATTACCTAAGAGAACCATGTCCCCTATAGTCAACGTATTTTTCATTAAGTCGGTCACCAAAAAACTCATACTTTGTTTTGGAAGTAACGTTGGATTAAGTTCTTCCCTCCCATTAATATATTTCGTTGTAAAAATCTTCGGTTTATTATCGTTTCCCCATTCATATTGAAACCATTTTCTAGATGGTTCAACGTACCTCTCCCCATACCGTTTTTTAAATTCTTGCTGTATATCTGCGAGTTCCTTTATCTCGAACTCAGGTTCAAGCCCGTTTGTTCTTTCCAAAAACTGTTTATTTATGGCATCGATATCATCGGCAGATAAAGGTTTGATTGATGACTTCAAGTCCCTTCTATTATTATATTTACTTGATGGAGTTCTTGACCAATCTTTACCTCTCCTTAAGCATGTAGAAGAATGAAAAAATCGTACCCTAACAGCACGGAACATATCTTCGAATTAATAAATTTGAAACCTCTATATAGTCGTCTTTTTTCCCTTTCTGTTTACTGTTAACTGCCAAACTACTGTCAAATTTTTAACTTTGTTTGGTATAAATATTTTCCACTTTTAAGATGATTACCCATACAAACTTTATTTTACCGAGAAGATCTCATTGCATAGAAAGAGAAATTTACAAAGCCAAACCCAAGAATGCACTGATAATTTGCTTTCACAAATTAAGTAAAAACACACACACATCCACACACACACAATAGTGATAAGAGAAGGATACATATGACCCCAAATACGCATGACTATGTCCTCATCGTTACGTGGCACTCTTTCGAAGAGATATGCTTGTCTGACAGGATTAGCTAACCCCGAACCTCAGTATAAAAATACCAGACATAATGTAGGTGTACTAATGCTTGATCTATTCAAGGAAAGACTGGAACAGAAGAGTGGGTCCACTATGCGATACAAGCCAAGTACAAAATCAAAATATGTTCATTATTGCAGTTTTAAGGATGTGAATGTAAACGTTCCACCAATGAAGGGAACTAACCCTAATGAATTCTCTGCAAGCATATTATATCTGTTAAGAAGTGATGGAAATTACATGAATCTTAGTGGAGAGACTATACGACCCATTTGGAAAGAATTATCAAGAGGAACTCAAGTCTCAGATCAATTAACACATATTGTATTACATGATGAATTGAGTTTACCGTTAGGAAAAGTCCAGTTACGGGTTCCAGGAAGAAGTCTAAGAGGTCACAATGGACTAAAGGATATATTGAGGATGTGCCCAAATATACCACATTACAACCTTGCCATCGGGATTGGTAGACCGGATTCACACGAACCCAGAGACGTTGCTGACTATGTACTAGGTAAATTCAACCACGAAGAACTTGAGATACTTCATACAAAGACTCTAGATCATGTGTGGAGACTTGTTCAACCTCATATATTGAGACAAGAGACTCAAAATGATCGTGCTTGATAGTTCTCCCAGAAACAACATCCCCATCCCTATACTGTACATACATATACATAAATCCTTATGTATAGATCCTCAAGTATACCTTCCATAATTAATCCATATTTCATATAAACCTGATTAGTGAATTAATCTATTCAATCATATGTCAATTATAGTCAATCCGGGGATATCGTTCTAAGGACTTCCTCGTAGAAAGTGATGTTTCAGTGTCTATAGTTGAAATTTTCTAGAGATTCGTTTATTTTCCTTCGTTTAAATTTTTTGTACTATAAAACTGTATATTTAAGTTTAGCGGTAATAAGAAGGGCGAACTGAGATAAACGACCTACAGGAATATTTTGGAATTCTATTTGAAAGAGATTAGTTGAATGCTTATATATAACTGTAAACCTATATTACCTTTCCTTTGTTTTTATTTTTTGGCTTGGAAACGGAGTTTTTTGTAAGGTTTGTTACTCAATTGTTAAACGTATTGTCTAATCGATTAACAGTGAAGAATTTGCCAAGCAATAGGATCATTAGGTAATTTTTGAATATTTTGTGGTTGGTATTAATTGTAATCTTGAAATATTTTTTTTTTTTGAATTGTAATAAACTCAATTCTAACGATAACACAATATTAAATAAAAAAAAAATGGGAAAATTAACTCAATTTATTACTCACCCCCTCGAATTAAGGGCCGCCATTATCTTACAATTTTTCAGAAAGCCATTGTTCTCAGTGAATGATACTACCGAAACCCCTGATTTAAAGCAATGCTACAAATTGTTAAAATTGACCTCTAGATCTTTTGCTGCTGTCATTATGGAGTTGAATCCAGAATTACGTAATGCAGTAATGCTATTTTATTTAATTCTACGTGCATTAGATACTGTCGAAGATGATATGTCTATTGCTCACGATATTAAAGTTCCTTTATTACGTGATTTCCACAAGAAATTATCACTTGATGATTGGTCCTTTGATGGGAATTCTCCAGATGAAAAGGATAGAGCAGTATTAACTGAGTTCAATTCTATCTTGCATGAATTCCATAGATTGAACAAGGAGTACCGTGATGTGATCATTAGAATCACCAAGGAAATGGGTAACGGTATGGCCGATTACATCCTAGATGAAGAATTCAACTTGAATGGTGTACAAACTATTAAGGATTATGATATGTATTGTCATTACGTCGCGGGTCTAGTCGGTGATGGATTGACTCATTTGATGGTTATTGCTAGATTTGCCTCTCCTGAATTAATTAAAAGACCAGAACTATTTGAAAGTATGGGCCTTTTCTTACAAAAGACTAACATTATTAGAGATTATGCTGAGGACATAGAGGCAGGTAGATCATTTTGGCCAAAGGAAATCTGGTCTATTTATGGTGAAAAATTAACCAATTTCCAATCTCCAGAGAATACCAAACAAGGTGTTTTCTGTATCAATCATTTGGTATTGAATGCATTAGAACATGTTACTGATGTTTTAACATATTTGAGTTCCATCCAAGAACGTTCAAGTTTCCAATTCTGTGCAATTCCGCAAGTTATGGCTATTGCTACCCTAGCTCTAGTATTTAATAATGAAGATGTGTTACATACTAATGTTAAGATTAGAAAAGGTACCACCTGCGATTTGATCTTAAAATCAAGAACCTACAAAGGTTGTGTAGATATTTTCGAATATTATTTAAGAGACATCAGAAAGAGATTAAATGTCGAGGATCCAAATTACTTAAAGTTTAACATCCATGTCGCAAAGATTGATCAATTCATTGAAGAAATGTACCAAGATAATTTACCTCAAGGTGTAAAACCAAACAAGACTGAAATATACTTGAAAGTTTCCGAAAGAGCCAAGTTCGATAACCCAATTGAAGATGTTCAATACGAAGAAATTTACAAGTTTAATATGTTGTTAACAGTACTATTTTCGACCGTACTAGGTATTCTTGTGATATACTTGGGTCCTTCTAATGCCGAACAATCAACACAATAATTCTACATATGTACTCTACTCAAAAGGTTTACCATCATGTAGCTTTTTTGTTTTTGTTTTAATTATTTTGTTACCATACGTTACTCCTCCTCTCTATTTCTCCTTTTTCTCTCCTTTAACTTCTTTCAAGAAATGACGCATACTAACGTTATATATTCGTTTATACAAATCAACTAACAACTCAAGAATAAAAATCATGTTTTCTAATCATTATACATATATATAGATCTACTTTTCTTTCAATATAGCCTAAAAGTCTGATATTAATTTTATCATTTTTATTTTTATTTGTGTTACCCTCATGTATCATTACCCGATTAGGTAATTCACGTTTGTTTACTTTCAGAAGACACGAAAAAACCCAAAAAAAGAAAATTAAAGCCAAAACAAAACAACTTGAAACAAAACATCTATATGAGGGATGCTTACCAGAAGAATAATAATTAAACCATAAGAACAGTAATTGCTTTGTTCGAGTTAAGATAAACGTAACTAAGCAACACAATTATGAGAGAAGTTATTAGTATTAATGGTATGTGATAATTTTCGTATATCTTTAGCGCTTGAGTACCCTTTTTTAAAATAGCCATCTCCAAATGCTCGAAGAAAATAGATGGGACGTACCGGAGTGAGAAAAGTGCAAGATAATTGATAAGATAATATATGATTGGATTAGGATACTTAAGCGGTGGGGTTTTCTTTTTTGTTTTACTATTTTCAAAACATGATTCTTTTTACTAACATTTTTTATTTATTTTGGGTTAATCCTGTGCAAACATCTATTGTTAATTTTGTTAGTACATTCTTAACCCATATTTTCGTTTTTGTTTTATAGTCGGCCAAGCTGGTTGTCAGATAGGTAATGCCTGTTGGGAGTTATATTCTTTAGAACATGGTATCCAACCAGACGGGTACTTACAAGATGGTCTTGCTAGACCTAAGGGTGGTGAAGAAGGTTTCTCCACTTTCTTTTATGAAACTGGTTCTGGTAAATATGTACCTAGAGCAGTATACGTTGATTTAGAACCTAATGTGATCGATGAAGTCAGAAATGGTGCATACAGAGATTTATTCCATCCTGAGCAATTGATTAGTGGTAAAGAAGATGCTGCCAATAACTACGCTCGTGGTCATTATACTGTTGGTAGAGAATTACTAGACGATATCCTAGATAGAATTAGAAGAATGGCAGACCAATGTGATGGTTTACAAGGTTTCCTATTTACTCATTCCTTGGGTGGTGGTACAGGTTCAGGTCTAGGTTCTTTACTACTTGAACAATTATCTGTTGATTATGGTAAGAAATCTAAGTTGGAATTTGCCGTTTACCCTGCCCCCCAAGTCTCTACATCTGTTGTAGAACCATACAATACTGTGTTAACTACTCATACCACTCTTGAACACGCAGATTGTACCTTTATGGTGGATAATGAGGCCATTTACGATATGTGTAAACGTAATTTGAACATTGCTAGACCAAGTTTCTCAAACTTGAACACTTTGATTGCCCAAGTTGTATCCTCTGTCACTGCATCATTAAGATTTGATGGTTCTTTGAATGTCGATTTGAACGAATTCCAAACGAACTTAGTCCCATACCCAAGAATTCATTTCCCATTAGTATCATATGCTCCAATTTTATCGAGTAACAAAGCTCACCACGAAGCTAACTCCGTTTCTGAGATTACAAATGCTTGTTTCGAACCAGGTAACCAAATGGTTAAATGTGATCCAACAACAGGTAAATACATGGCTACATGTCTGCTATACAGAGGTGATGTTGTTACAAGAGATGTTCAAGCTGCTGTTACTCAAGTGAAGAATAAAAAGACTGTACAAATGGTTGACTGGTGTCCAACCGGTTTTAAGATTGGTATCTGCTATGAACCACCTACGGCCACTCCAGATTCACAATTGGCTCCTGTGGATAGAGCCGTTTGTATGCTATCTAACACAACTGCCATTGCCGACGCATGGAAGAGAATTGACTCAAAGTTCGATCTAATGTACGCTAAGCGTGCATTCGTACATTGGTATGTTGGTGAAGGTATGGAAGAAGGTGAATTCACTGAAGCAAGAGAGGATTTGGCTGCGCTGGAGAGGGATTACATTGAAGTTGGTTCTGATTCTTACGCCGACGAAGAATTCTAAGCTATTTATGACAAATGAGAGAACATCTATAATGAATAAGAAGTATTCAAAAATGAAAAAAAATGAAAACATAGATATATATCACTCATTTATGATATTCAAAATTTCAATAAAATTGGAATAATTGTACAATAACAGAATAACGCGAGTAGAGACAGGATAAGGCTCGTACCTAGATGGATGCATGTCCCTTCAATATTTCTAATTTATACCCTTTAACTTTTCCAATCCCAACTCCTATCAATTTTCTTTATCAAAGGAAGAATAAAAATAATATATATATGTTAACCCATAGATATTTACTCGCAATCAATAAATAATAATATTTTTTTAAAAAAATAAAATAAGAAAAAAAAGCTATCAAATTCATAAAATTTTAAAAATTATTTAAACCTTTCCAGGAATTTACTATTTATATGAGATTTATTTAACTGAATTTTCCTTTTTGGTGCCTTTTTCATAATATTTTCTTCTATCTGCCTTGCCTTCTCTAGGGAATTAAGAGGAACCGTCAAGTAGTATACATTCCTATTATCAAGATCAGTATTAATCAATTTTCTTGGAAAATTCTTGTCTCGGATCTCTATTGGTACAGGATAATCATCTTCAAACTTTCTCTTGGATACATATTCTTGCCCGAGTGAGTGTGATACAAGACAACTACGTAATATTGGAATACCCTGTATAATACTAGGTTCAATTCCAACAGTTACTATTTCCAAGGATGGAATATAGTAAAGTAACTTGAATAGCAATTTAGGATCTTTTAAGAACGGTACACTTAAACGACTGACTCCTTTCCATGTATTAGGGGTGATCTTGATATATGTTAACCATCCAACAATAGTTCTGCATAAAATATCTTGATTTTGCTCGTAAAATGATAGCTCATACAAATTCTTCAATTGTGCCAACCTTTCAGTTTGATTTAGATAAACATATAAATGGAGATTAAGTCTAAACGGGTATCTCTTAATTTTATCCAAGCCATTAAACATTTTTATAATAGAAGGAATGCCATCTATATTATCGTTAAACATATACTGCTTTTGATTAAAAGTATCATGTGAGTCATGCTGCTCACAAAAGTATTGCTCCAATATCCAATATGATGTAAACAGTGAACTACCACTGTTGATAAAAGGAAGATAATTTATTATCATAGAAGCGACATACGTGTTGGGAATCTTTTGAAACAATTCAAGTTGATCCCCTAACGTTATTATGGATGATGTAAGAACTTCAGAAAAATCCTTCACACATAGTTCAGTGAGCGTCTTTACTTTGAAAATGCCCTTATGATTATACGGGTCTGATAATAAACACTTGCTATTCACATTAAGAAGTCTTAAAGCGGTAATGATGTCTCGTTCCATTTGCAATGATATAAGGGTATCTAGTCATTTGGTTTATCCGCCATCGTCTGACGTCTTCTTATTGGAAGTTCGTGCAGGATACCTAGCTCTACTGTATATGCAGGAAAAACATTCTAGTATTACTTTCAAAAGGTGAGACCTTTCTTCACTATCTAGAGGTTGATCAACGTTACGCCAAAATAAGATTACTATTGTTCATTAACTATGTCGCGATGAGGAAGAAGACTGACCTCGGAGGAAAACAAAAATTTTTCAGAGAAAAAAAAACACAAATATGGTGAAGGAATAAACACGGAACTTTCTAAAGTTGACGTTTCTTTGACCCAAGGGGTTACCAGAACTGTAGACATCAACCACGAAATTGAAGGCAGGACGACAGGAAGATCACATAACAACCCCAAAGTGTCTACGATTCAGGTAAATATACAGGAGGCTAGTTATAATAATTGAACTTAATACATTTTTAACTACTATTTTTTTATTTATTTTAATTTCTTCCTAAGATTGATATTGAACAACCCGGAATTAACAATCATGGCATTGGAAGCGCTGGAAAATATTACACAGAAGGACTATAAGTTCAAGAACTGGGCTGGTATCTACAGTTGTAAGCCACAATTGTATTTCCAACCAACCACAATAGATGAAGTGTCCAGTGTTGTTAAGAATGCAAGGGCTCTAGGTAAGACAATTGTGACCGTTGGGTCAGGCCATTCTCCTAGTAACATGTGTATCACCAATGAATGGTTGATGAATTTAGATAAATTAAACAAAGTCTTAGGGTTTGAAGAGTTTAAGGATTCACATTTCGCCGATGTTTCTGTAGAGGCTGGTATTCGTGTTTTCCAAATTAACGAATACGTTGCTACTAAAAATTATGCGGTTCAAAACTTGGGTTCCATCTCCGAACAAAGTATTGCAGGTATTATCTCTACAGGGACTCACGGTTCCTCACCATTCCATGGTCTGGTATCATCGAATATCGTAAATTTAACAATTGTCAATGGTTTAGGGGAAGTCGTATTTTTAGACTCTGAAAACCACCCAGAAGTATTCAGGGCCGCTTTACTTTCCTTAGGTAAGATTGGTATCATTGTTAGAGCTACTGTTCGTGTTGTACCTGCATTCAATATTAAATCTACTGAAGAAGTAATTACTTTTGAGGATTTGCTAGAAAGTTGGGATACTCTATGGACATCATCCGAATTTATCAGAGTTTGGTGGTATCCTTATTCTCGCAAATGTGTTCTATGGAGAGGTAATAAGACTGAGGATATACCAACAAAACCACGTAAGAGTTGGTGGGGTACTACTTTAGGTAGAATCTTTTATGAAACGTTACTATGGTTATCTTGTAAAATCTATACTCCACTAACGCCATATGTTGAAAGATTCGTTTTTCAAAGACAATATGGTAAACTTGGCGGTAAAGGTAATGGAAACACTGCTGTGGCAACCTCTGTTAAAGCATTTAATATGGATTGTTTATTCTCTCAATTTGTTAACGAATGGGGGTGTCCACTAGAAAATGGTCCACAAATTTTACGTTCATTAGATCACAGCATTAGCCAAGCTAACCAAAACAAAGAATTTTACGTTCATGTTCCAATGGAAATTCGTTGTTCCAACACTACTCTACCTTCTGAACCACTTGATACTAAGAATAGAACTGTTACTAGTCGTGGTACAGTATATGGTAACATCTTACGTCCATATTTGGATAATACCCCATCTGGTTGTAGATACACTCCTTTGAACAGTGTAACTAACAGCCAATTGACACTATACATCAATGCTACCATCTACAGACCATTTGGTTACAATACTAGAATCCATGAATGGTACTCTATATTTGAAGATACAATGTCCGTTGCTGGCGGGAAACCTCACTGGGCAAAGAATTTCTTGGGATCCACAAATAACACCGCAGGTGAGATCAAGGAAGAGTCTGAATATGACGATTTTGAAGGTAGAGGTCTGGGTAGAAAGATCAAGGAATGGTATGGCGATGATCTTGTAGCCTTCAGAAATATCAGAGAGCAACAGGACCCAGATAATGTCTTCTTAATGAATAAAGAATGGGCATTCCGTAACGGAATTGCCAATGAATAAGAAAAACATTGACATCTATTTAATGAATACAAACAGCAATTAACATAATCAAGAACATACTTTTATCCAATTCATTTTCTTTTCCCCCCATGTCTTTTTAACTTCTATATAACTCTGTGTACATGTGAAATGGGTTCACTTTTCAAAAAAAGAGTCGTTCAAGTGTACGATTATTTCTTTATATCCCTTGATATATATATACGTATATATATACAAATGTTTAATATATTAACTATCTTCTAATCAAATTATTGGGAGTCTACATATATCATCCGCGGAATTCTTTATTTTCTACTTATTTCCTTTCTAGACCCATTGCTTCGGGCCCTCTAAACCAATATCCGCTGGTTGTTTCAGATCTGGAAGAGAAAAGGAAACTCGATCCGTGAGAAATAATCAGAGTAAATCGCATTCTAGCATATGATAGTGGGCCTAAACGAGTGAGGGGCAATATCCGCGGAGGTATTCGCAATTATGTAAGGTTTGTTCCGAAGGTTCTCTCGAGGGTGCTTTTTTTATCCAATGCTTAAGAAGATGGATTTAAGACGCTTTAATTTAGAAGGTTATTTGGTGATTCGATATATGTAGTTTTGCATACATATATATAAACATCTACATATTGATTAATTCAATGATCTTGTTTTCAATGAAGATTACACACTATAAAGATAATTGAAAAATTTAAAATTGTTGTGTGTTAAAACATGACGTCCTGGCCAGGTTATATAGAGGATCAACTAATGAGTATAAGCAATCTGGGATTAACACTGCGGCTGATACTTGTATTAACATGCGTATCAGGTGCATATTTGGCCAGATTACGATTCTCATTGATGGTAATTACGATACTTTTTTCAATTGCTTATATACTTGCATATTTTAATAAAATTATAAAATGTAAGAAAATGATTTCTGCTGTGAAACGTAAAATGCATGGCTCTAAATGGACACAGTTTCAAATTACATGCATTAAAAAAATTTCAAAAGATACATCTATATATACATTTAATATTCAATATCCAGAAGGTTCATTACATTTACCGTTAGGACATCACGTACAAGTAAGAGCTATGATTCATGGTAGACAGACAATACGTTATTATACCCCAATATTTCCAAGCGAGACAACAAAGGAACTACAACTTATGGTGAAGTCATATTCAAATGGTACAATGTCTAAATATTTATCGACTCTGCATGTAGGACAGACAGTTGAAATCAGAGGACCTTTCGGCAACCCAACTTCAGACAACAACCAACATTATCCATTGCAGAAGGAGATAGAAACATATAGAAAGATGGGTAAAGAATCCAATTCAAATGAAGAGACATTAACGCAACTTGGTATAGTGGCAGGTGGATCTGGTATCACTCCTGTACTACAAGTCCTACACGAAATAGTAACAAATCCATACCATTTAGAAAATATATCCCTGATATATGCAAATGAAACAGTAGACGATATATTATTGAAGAATGAATTAGATGAAATGGCTAAAAAACATCCACATTTCCAAATACATTATGTATTACATCATCCACCGAAAGGTTGGAAAGGTGAAAGAGGTTATATAACGAAGAGAATGTTACAGAAATATTTACCTCGATATAACAAACAGCATAAATTATTGGTGTGTGGCCCCTTAGAGATGGATGAATTAGTGCTTAGGTACAGTAAAGAACTTGGGTGGAATAAAGGATTCCAGAAATCTAGGAGTAATGATAAAGTGTTTGTATTTTGATAATTTTAAAAGGTTCAAAGCACAAATGATCCTATTTTTTTTTTATATGGATGCATAAACACAGGAACAAATAGTGGTATATAACAGGATATATAATGAGTAATAATAATTATAAAATATAATAATCATAAAAAAAATATGCGTATTGTGTTTAATTTATTTCACTTAAAGATAACGCAAGTGCTAATTGTAATTCTTCATCCTCAGACAATGCGTTAGAATTATTTGTGTTTGTTATCGAGGATTCGGCATTACGTGGAACATCATCAGACAATGGATGAGCTAAATTAGGAGTTATATTGCCTCTGTTGTTTCTTTGTTCTTCTTCTGCCATCGAAAGTTCAAGGGCCCGTCTGAACTCATCATCACCTTCTGCAAGGTCATCCAATGTAGTATTAGGAGGACTATGGTCAGTTTCCTGTTCAAGGATCCGTTGTGATTCTTCAATGGCTCTCCTCAACTGTTCTTCTTCGTCTTGCACGTTGGTGTTTTCTTGAGTACTAACAGATTGAGATTCTAATAATGCAATTCTTAATTGAACATCTTCATCATTATCAGAATTGGCCACAGTTAGTAAATGTTCATTGTTCCTTGAGGTTGGAGTGATATCACCACCATATGTCTCTAAAAGTCTATTATTTTCCAATCTTTGGTCATACCTATATGTCTCTTCCTCATCAAAATTATTCATTTGTGTGTTTAATGTTTCAATCCACTTATTGCTACGGTTCTTATGCGATGATGATGAGTTTTTCATCCCTGAAGAATCATTATCATAATCTGAGTTTCTATTTTTACTTGTTATAAACTCTAATAAATGTAAGACGTTCCCACTTCCTATAAGAATTTTATTTTCGGATATATCTAAGAATTGTGGATATTTATCAGTCTTTTGAATCACTTTAATCGGTGACCCGGTTGATGAATCCAATAAATGTATTTGATTTGCAATTGCCACTATTATTAGTAAATTTGTCACTTTCACTGAATGTATCTGTTCATCAAAACTTATTGTAGTTTGAATCTTGATTGTGGAGGCAATATTTCGTATATTAATTATTGCAATATCATTATCTGAAGTAAGTAATGCTATATAACAACCATCATTACCTGCCAATGAAAAATCTTGTTCATTAATAGCAGTGGATTCATCCATATAAACATTTGTAATAGTAGTTGAAATGTTTGGGAAAATATCTTTAATTTGAATTGTTTGAGTGGTACCAAATGCGTTATTGGGATCAAAACAAATTGTGTATAACGTAGAATTACTAGCCATGATAAGAGTCCGAGAACCAAAATCTACATTAACAAATTGTAAAAGATCACCAGTCGTAGTTGTATTATTTCCTGACGATCGTATTATATTTAATGGTAAAGGTAAAGAATGTACAATAGATTGATTTTGAATAATATAAATTCTTTTATGATCTAATGCTAAAGTGAAGTCTTTCCAATAATATAATTTCCAAATTAAACCAATTGTTGGTTTCATAAATGCGACACGTTTTGTATCTTCCCACCAAATTAATTCACCATTTTCTGATGCACTAACACATCTATGTTCTTTTGCAGATGTATCATTCATTAATGATGCAATTGCAGTTACACAGGTAGAATGCGTTGAATTAAATTCTGTAGCAGGTGTTAAATAAGATTTATTACCTAATAATTTTCCAAAGACACGACCATCAAACCTACCAAATACGGCAGCATTAATTGAAAAATCTAACGTCGAACAACCTTGAGGTGTTGTACATGGGATATAAGTTAATCTTTGTCTTGAACGTTTATTTTGAAGATGTATTAATGTAATAGTACCATCATTATAACAAGCACAACGTGGATATGAAAATACTAAACTTTCAATAGGCATCCCTTGTTGTTGCTGCTGCTGTTGCTGCTGTAAAAATTGATTTGGTGGACCTGATCTAAATGGTGATACAGCATATTTAGTACGTACCACTCTATTATGTCTCCAATGCAGTAGAGAATCTCTACGTGTTACATATTCCTTATGAAATTCAAATGATCTTGATAAAGATGGAAATTTTGTTGTACCAAGTCTTGCCACAATAAGATATTTCCATAATTCATCTGCTGTAATTAATGTATTAAATATTTTTGAAATTTGTTGTAAATGGCATAAATCAGGTTCATCTAAATATGAAAATATATTAAATAAAATTTCAGTCGGTAACGTCTCTAACGTCTGATTTGTAGTATTAGAAATCATATCTGGCATTTTACCTAATAAAAAAGTAGAAAAACACCCAAAAGTACCACAAAATGAGGTGTTTCAATAGTTTATAATTAGTTAAATGTGTTAAAAGAAAGAATATATAAATATATCAGTATTTTCACTTTGCTCATCGCCTTGTATAGTTTTATCTATATATATATCTATATTAGGTGTAATTTTAACAACCCAAAAAAAAAAGAAAAAAGAAACCGCCATACAAAACTACCAATTATCAGGCACGTGGTAGGCACGTGCAACACACGTGATCAAAATATTTTTTTTCTTTTCTTTAATGAACTTTTAAGCTACGTCATATTGAGTTATAAAATCAAAGCATGAAGATAGATTTTGCACACGTTCTAAAAACAATACAATTGCATTAAATATTTTCAACCTCTCCTTTATCAAAGAACTTATCATATCAGCGAGTGATTGAGACAGTCACAACATAGAAATAATCTAAGGATGTCCACATACACGCCCCTATTCTGCATCTGTATATTCATAATACAAATATGTATATCTGCGCCCTTTTACCACGAGACCAAACCTTAGCTTAAGAGTGATTATATAACGGTTGAAGGCATTGCAAGAAAGATAAATAGCTATTCTCTTGATTACATAATTTTTACTTAGAGAGCGAGCGAGAGAGATAGAGAGTCCGTTTCGCTCGTCACCACCGAAAACTCCATGTTAATATATACACATATGTATTTAGGCAACATTCTTTCAATGGGCGGCAATTTGTCCAAAACGGTTCATACTCACACACATATATACTCTTTTCAGCTTATGAAATTTATCTTGTATCGCAGAAGTATTTATTTTTCTATCAATCTACTTCGCGACATTGAACTCGTTTAATGATTGAAAATATATATAAAAAAGCCTAATATCCGATGTGTCCTATGTCTGTTTCTCTCTCGCCCGGTTACTCCAATTATATTATCTTTATCAACAGAAATAACACCGCAGTTTCAGCTTCGTTTAGTCTGCAAGAAACAGAGAGCCAACAGCAACAACAACAACAAAAAAATCAGTCAATCAAAAAACACAAAGCGTATAGTGAAAGTTCGGTCTCTCAAAGATATACAAAAAATTCAACCACTCTTTTCTTCCTGTACTACGTATACTTTTGCATTGATGCTACTCTCTACTATCAATTAATATTCGTCCCCCATCTCGTTTAAATGGAAAAACTAAATTAATTTTTAATTTTTGGCGGCGGCGGCTGGCGTTTACGGATATTTCAACCCGGGCACAGTACGGTTTTTTTTACTTTGGCTCTTCTCGCTGAATGCGCGAAGTACAGTGGTACTCGGTTAACAAACTCGTTGGGGATTACAATTTTAAGAGACAAACTGCAGCCAATTTTAAAAAATTGAACAGCTTAATCATCTTTTTTTTTTTTACTTCTGGTAAAAGGTCATCTACGTACATACATCCATATATATATAAAGGGAAGAAGATTAATTTGAGATTAAAGCATTGTGCTATTTGGAATTCTCTATTATACCTACATCTATTATATCTATCTACAGTTAGACACCCTTAGACACACACACACACACACACACACACACTCATATACACATATATTTATCATGACTGAATTGAAGAAACAAAAGACCGATGCTTTACCTCCAAGACCAACTAATATCGGGATAAAAGGTATTGAAGTATATTTACCATCTCAATGTGTAAATCAAGCAGAATTAGAAAAATTCGATGGTGTATCTACTGGGAAATATACAATTGGTTTAGGTCAAACTAATATGGGTTTTGTTAATGATCGTGAAGACATTTATTCAATGTCTTTAACCGTTTGTTCAAAATTAATGGAACATTATAATATTGATCCAAATCAAATTGGTCGTCTTGAAGTTGGTACAGAAACTTTATTAGATAAATCAAAATCTGTTAAATCTGTTTTAATGCAATTATTTGGTAACAATACTGATATCGAAGGTATTGATACTGTTAATGCATGTTATGGTGGTACAAATGCTGTATTCAATTCTTTAAATTGGTTAGAATCTTCAAGTTGGGACGGAAGAGATGCAATTGTTGTATGTGGTGATATTGCTATTTATGATAAAGGTGCCGCTAGACCAACAGGTGGTGCAGGTACTGTTGCTTTATGGATTGGTCCAAATGCTCCAATTGTTATGGATTCTGTTAGAGGTTCTTTTATGGAACATGCTTATGATTTCTATAAACCAGATTTTACAAGTGAATATCCTTACGTTGATGGCCATTTTTCATTAACTTGTTATGTTAAAGCATTAGATCAAGTTTATAAATCCTATTCTAAAAAAGCAATTGCAAGAGGTATTGCAGAAAAACCTTTAGGTCCAGAATCTGTTAATGTTCTTGAACATTTTGATTTTAATGTTTTCCATGTTCCAACTTGTAAATTAGTTACAAAATCATATGGTAGATTATTATATAATGATTTTAAAGCTCAACCTTCTTTATTCCCAGAAGTTGATGCTTCTTTAGCTACAAAGGATTATGAAGAATCATTAACTGATAAAGCATTAGAAAAGACATTTGTTAACGTTGCTAAACCATTCCATAAAGATAGAGTTGCTAATTCTTTGATTGTTCCAACAAATACAGGTAATATGTATACTGGTTCTGTTTATTCTGCATTAGCTTCATTAATTTTTTATACAGGTTCTGATAATTTACAAGATAAGAGAATTGGTTTATTTTCTTATGGTTCTGGTTTAGCCGCATCATTATTTTCTTGTAAAGTTAAAGGTGATATTAGTAATATTGCTAAAATACTTGATTTACAAAATAAATTAGAATCAAGAACAACTCAAACTCCACAAGAATACGAAGCTGCTATTGCATTGAGAGAAAATGCTCATTTACAAAAAAACTTCAAACCTGTTGGATCAATTGATTTACTACAAAAAGGTACTTATTATTTGACCAACGTTGATGAAAAATTCAGAAGATCTTACGAAATTAAAAATTAAGGAAACTGAAATGAAAAAGTAAAAAAGAGTATTTTTCATTCATTCATTCATTCATTCAAAAAAAAAAATTTCCTTCTTGCTATGTATATTCCGTATGATATATAATCAACAATAAAGACTAAAATAAAATGCCTAAATGTCTCTTTTCTCTACTTACAGATCTTTAATCATTTATATATGGTATTGTTAACATGATAAAAAAAAATTATTGCAATTATTTTTCGCTACTGTCATGTTTCGAACAGGACTAAATTCAAAAATACCGGCCAGTCGTACTCAATGATAAGCAACCTCTTCGGTTTTTAGCAGGCCGTTTCTGCCGTCCTTTGGCCCCTCACCCCGCGGAAATAATACCGCCACGTCTATTGTTTCCAAAAATTTACTCCATTTTGATTGGCCAGCACCGGGAACACACACAAACTCTCTGTCACCTCTCTGCAGGGGGAAGAAAACGCGCGCGCACTGAAACGAAAACCGATCAGTGACTCTTCCCCGAACTCGGCCTGCCAGTTACTAACCAAAATATCCCCATTCTGACCAATCAGCGTGAAGAAGATGTGGATAAAAAAAAAATTTAAAATTGGGTTGCGTATTGCGTCCCCTTACGGCTATAATACAGAGAAACATATGCAGCAATCCACATTTTTATTAAAATTTTGTCTCTGTCACAGTTAAAAAAAGGATTTTAACTACTGCCAAATTCTGCATTGTTTTGTTTGGCTGTACTATCAGCTGACAGAGTGGAAGTACCGAATTTTAGACCAAAAATTATGCTTAATTTTTCATCAATCATAATGGGTAAACCAGTGAACAAACAAACAATAGTAATAATAACAATAAGACGACGTTGGCAGTAATTGACAGAACTTAGAATAGAATTTGATACATTTTACGTACTGAGACTCTCTCTCTCGCACTAGGTTCGTTCGGCACTCAATTAGTACCTTTAATAAAGAAGTGAAAAATTTTGTTCAACGTCGTTATTTGCTTTTTTTCTTCTCTTTGGTTTAATAATACGATAATATCAAACATATATATTTTTCACCTTCAGGTCCAATAAGCATTTGTCAGATCCATTTCGACAGAGGATAACTACTATTTTCATTCATACATATATATATATATATAAGTGAATGCATAATCGCCAGATTAATAAGATTTTCTTTTTATTTTTGATATATTAATCTCGAACCAAACCAACTAAAATCAAACCTATTGTTACATTTATTTTATATTTTAACTACCTTTTTTAATATTTTTATGCTCGTTTAATCCACCATATCTATTACTGTTATTATCAAATATTGATTAATTAATTCAGTTTTCTATTCATTTTATTTTATTTATTTGACAAAATGCATCCAACTAATAATAGAATAATAGCATTAAAATCTTTGAAATATAAAAAATTTGCAAAAGGTTGCCATAGATCAGCTTCATCACATAAGAAGCCTTCACCAACTTTTTTTGATAGTTCATATCAACAATACTTAAGACAAAACCATGGTTTAGTACAATTAGATTCTGCTCAAACACAGTCGCATTTACCAAATTTACAACCACATCCAGTAATTGGTGCAAACACAAATTTTAATACCGTTGATGATGTCTTACATCATGAAGATTATATTATTACTTCTACCACTCCAAATAATGGTACTAATAACTATGTCTCCACACAACATTATGATATGACTATTAGTCAAACTTTATCTAAAAGATACTATTCCAATATAACGAACCAACAACAATCACAACCACAAAATAATAATAATAATAATAACAATAATACATTAATAAATGACTCTCTACATATTCAAAATAAAGATACTAATACCTCAACACAACATAAAGGATTTGAAAATGATGATGGGAAAGTATGGGAAGAAGATACTGAAACTGATTTAAACCCTAATGAATACTTGAAAGTTCATATCGAACAAATTGATAAATGTTATAATTTGAAACAATATTCTAGAATAAATGCATTATATCAATCTTTGAAAAGAAATAATATTACAGTACCATTAGAAACATATGAAAAAATATTAGAATCCTTCGCTAAGAGAACTTTCGATGTCAATAATAAAAATTTAGATGAAAAAATGTTTTCTTTATTAAATTGTTATCACGATATTATAAATAATAGATTAAAACCAACAGCAAAAATTTATAACATTGTGTTATTACAAATATTTAAAAATTCTATTGTTGCATTTGAATCAAATAATCCAAATGGTCTAGATTTCTTTAAGATTGGTTCCGAATTATTTCATACAGTATTGAAAAATAATTCATTATCCAAAGAAACAATCAATTATTATTTATTAGCATTAAACGTCTTTTCAGGATCACCATTCAAATATTTTAACAATAACAATCAAAATCAACCAATGGCTCTAATACCAAATTTAAATTATTTTAAATTAACTATAATAGATTCATCAGCTTTATACGTAAAGGATTCTTTCTATTTTATTGCATTCATTAATTTGGCCAAAATTACCAATGATCTATCTTTCTTGAAAGATTTATATCAAGAATTTTTGTTATTATTACCATTAGATACTTCTCCATCATTAAAGGAAAATCAATTTGAAATATACTCTATGTTTATCACTGGATTTTTAGAAAGTGGAGAACACACATTATCAAATAAAATCTTCGAAAATTTAATTAACGAAATTAAATTAAGAGATGGTATGTCAGAAAACATTAAATTGATCCTTTCAAACTATTTGATTTCATTGAGTAAATTAGATGCTAAAAAGGCATATTCGTTATGGATGAGCTTTAAGAAATTAAGATGGGTCCCAGAATTTACTTATGATTTTTATTTGCAACTCATGTCAAATTCATTCCATGATTGGGAATTAACTAAAAAGATATACGATTACATTTACCCAATGGAAAGAGTCTTTTACAATAGAGGAAGAATAACTAGTACTTCAAAGGAGACAAATTTATCCAGTTATTTACTATATCCAATCCACACTGAAATGATCCTAAATTCGTTGATGAATTACGCATTACAATTGAATGATCAAGATGTAGTTTTCAAGTTATTGGAAGAATCTACTATCAAATCGTTCACATTTGATACCAACTTATACTCAAGTATATTTAAATTCTTAGTCTCAACTAATTGCACCTCTTCTTATTTATTAAGAATGATAGAGACTCAAGGTGATCTATTATTAAACGAATCCATTAACAGACAGAACAACAGTAACAATTTACAATTCTTAAATGCAATTACCAACGCAACTAGAAATTCGGATATATTAGAAGCCATTCTTAATATGAAGTTTTTTGATACCATCTGTAAAAATATTGATTTCAACGCAGAAAACACTACAAATTTTAACATTCATTACAATGGTCTTGTTGTATTACTAGATGCATTGTGGAAAGCACCAAAGGATTTTAATTCTTACCCTCATTATTTAGAACTTCAATCTAGTTTGATCATCAGATTGTTCGATTTCGACACATATGTTCCAACGGAAGAAAATAAATTAACCAGTGATTCTGAGTTCTCAAACTTCAAGACAACCTTGGTTGAAAAATTTGAAAAAATGGCAACAAATTATCAAAGATTGAACTATGACCCAAATAAAGTTCAACATGTTGTATCACAAGCTGTAAGATTATCGAATTTACCAGAAGAAACCATCCAATACTTCAATAATCCAGGCGATTGGGATAAGTCATACCCACTAAGTTTGGGATCTCAAATCAGAAATGCACCATCAACAGGTATTAAGGATTTTGAAAACTTATCAAACGATGGGTATTGTTTCGATTACGATACTTACAAAGAATTAATTAAACACAAATATATCAATCAATATATCATTGAAAAATGTTATGAATTTGTTACAGTTGGTGATACCGATGAATTGAAGAGCCTAACCAATCTAATTATAAGTAAGGTTTCTCCAACACAAATCGAATCGTTATTGTTTTTGAAATCAGCCAAAGATTCTACGATATCACTTGAGAAACAATATTTCTTTCAAAAGTTCATGTCGAGCTATTTAAGGGATGCATCCTTATCAAAGATCCTTCGTTCTTTAAATCATTCTGAGACTTTCCCTCAATTTATTGCGATTTTGAAGTTCCCTGAAAATTTCAAAAGTATCACTGTTCAAGCAGAATTTAAGGAATCGATTGATCTTATCTATGAAAAATTATATGAAGCCCGTGAATATGAAAACATTGTCAAATTTAACGATATTTGCCCTGTGTTGAACTTAAATATTTTACTGAAATCTGCCATCAGATCAGGTGAAATTGAGACCTATGAAAAATTATTTGAAAAATTCAATTCATCACTTTCTCATGACAAACTCATTGAAATCAAATGTGAATATTTATTAGATAGCTTAAAGATCGATGAAACATTGAAACTATGCGAAAAATACAAGGACGATATAAGCTGTAAAAAATCTAAGGACTATTCTACATTTGCCATTTTTTTGAAAAGTTTTACTAATGAGTCTTCTGTAACCACGGATAACCCAGAGAACACATTACAATTTTCTAACCAATTATCTGCATTCAGTAGCTTCACTGAAGTACTAAATTACTACAATTATCATTCTGAATTGCTTGGTGATTCACTGACACCAACTGAAAGATTTCAGATCAACAAGAATGTATTAGATCAAATGTTGAACAATATAGTTGACGCCTCAAATTTATTCTTTGAGAACCAAAACATCCCTGAGGGATTAATGAACAAAACTGACGTTGTCAGACAATTCCAATTAAAACTAAAGACATTTTACCGTTTCAAGGCATACTTGAAACTACAAAACTACAAGGTTTCTGAACTACAAAGGCTATTGAACGTTTGGTCGAAAGTTGAACCGTTCTCAATTGATTCATTTTTCAATAATATCATTGAAACAATATATCTAAAACCAGATACTACTTCGAACACACTTTCTCTGAAGCATGACCTTTTATGGAACTTTGATAAATCATCCTTGAAGGTTATTGCCGATGATATCATACACGCATACCAAGTAATAGGTGACCTACCTAAGATCAATAAAGTCGAACAGTTCAAGACTTTCCTTGATCAACCACAAACAACCCCAGTTATTTTATAAAACAGCATTAAATTTAATAATATACACATACATACATAATAACATAATTTTCATTTTTTTTTAATAGATAGGAAAACATTCGTCAGTTAGAAGGAGATGATGAAACTGATCTTGACATCTTCTTGAATGCTCAAGGTTCACTTCGTTAGTATGAAGTTTACCCGGCAAACCATTTTTTTTTTTGCCTCTTCCGCTTATTTTCGGCATCGAGGTTCTTAATCCTGCAAAAAGTTCACAGAGCGAGGGAACCTTTTTTCCTCTGAAGGTGGCAAATATAGGATATTTAAATATACCATGCAAACCTACATACATATATATATTTACCTTTAAGCAATGAAGAAGAGATGATCATATTTCCTTAAACATAATTTTGAAAGGTTATCAATTGACTTAATAAGATATTTGAGATCCAGTGTTTTAAAATTGAACTAATACAATAGGCAATTTTAAGAGTTTTCATAAATAATGGCTGACAGATACTCCTTTTCTCTAACAACCTTCTCCCCAAGTGGGAAATTGGGTCAAATCGACTATGCATTGACTGCAGTTAAACAAGGTGTTACATCGCTTGGTATCAAGGCTACCAATGGTGTAGTAATTGCAACTGAAAAGAAGTCCTCTTCCCCACTTGCGTTGACAGAAACATTATCAAAAATTGAATTAATTACCCCAGATATCGGTGCGGTATATTCAGGTATGGGTCCAGATTATAGAGTTTTAATTGATAAATCCAGAAAAGTTGCTCATACAAATTATAAAAGAATATACAACGAATATCCTCCAACCAAATTACTAGTCTCCGAAATTGCTGAAATTATGCAAGAAGCTACACAATCTGGTGGTGTTAGACCATTCGGTGTATCACTCCTGGTGGCTGGTTTTGATGACCATAAAGGTTTCTCACTTTATCAAGTTGATCCATCAGGTTCTTATTTCCCATGGAAGGCTACTGCTATAGGGAAAGGTTCTACTGCAGCAAAGACATTTTTAGAAAAAAGATGGAATGATGAATTAGAATTAGAGGATGCTATTCATATTGCCCTATTGACGCTAAAAGAATCAATCGAAGGTGAATTTAACGGTGATACAATAGAAATTGCTATAGTGGGTGATACTAATGACGACCTTTTGGGCTACACTGGTGTTCCAAAGGATAAGGGCCCTAGATTTAGGAAACTGACTTCTCAAGAGATTAATGACAGACTTGAAGCTTTATAAGTAATGTATTCATGCAATTATTTATATGTATATAAATATATAGGAAAACAAACAACATCATACGCAGATCAATTTATTGGATAATTACATATCAAGCACTAGTATACTTTGATAAAACTAGATAACGTTACATTATTTTATTACTATAGTAACATTGATGCATATATATATATATCTAAATATAACTATTTAAATGGGGCTTTTAGAGGATCGATAACTTCACCAGGTTTAGTCATTATTCTTGGTTTAATTAAGTTTTGATGCGATTTTCTTGAGGTCCATTGTTGACCCAAAGGCATACGTAAAGATCTCTCGTATTGCTCTTTGTTCTCGAATGGGAAAGGGACTGCAGATGACTGGTACTTTAAATTCTTTTTGTTTACCTTTTCATTTATAATAACATTCTGTAGTCTCTTATCTTTTCTCTTATCTTTTTGAACAACACCTTTAACCTTTTTGATTAATCTTTTCTTTCTTGGCTGAGTTCCATTGCCAGCCCAATCACCCCAACCAGGCAATGTAATATCTTCTTCTTTGTCATCATCATCTTCAGCAATTCTCTTTTTCTCATTTTCAAATTCAGCCACAACATTATCACCTGCAAAGGCATCTGCAATAACATCCTGTTGCTTGAAAGAAAATTCGCCTTCAAATTCGTTATCTGAACCACCATATGGATCAACGATATTCAATTTATTTGAAGTTTCGGAATCAAGAAGCAATTCTCCATCATCGTTAGCCGTATCATTTTTATTTTTTCTATTTTGTTTTGCCAGTTTCTTTTCAATTTTTTGAGTTCTCTTTGTCTCTTTGGAGCTATCTTTATCAACAACCGATACTTTCGTCGAACGTTTTATATTTTTACTCGATTCTTCATCACTATCAACCATCCATGGATTTTCTGGTTCTAGGTGTTTGTCTAAGGTATTATCTTCAGCTGCTGAATCTTGTTCGTTTCCTGACTTTAATGATTTAGCATTTTTACTTAATCTGTTTGATAAGTTTCTGGAATTATCAATACGAACTTCTTCGTTTAATTCTTCAGCTGCTTCCTCGGTAGCCTTCTTTTGAAGCAGATTACTTGGAACGTACACTCTTCTACCTTTATTGAGTTGAATGTTTTCATCCAAAGTTTTATTTCTGTTGTCGTCAATATCAGAGTCAACTAGATCATCACCGTTCTCGAATGCTCTTAAATTAGCAATATTGTGGAGATTGGCTTCCTTTTCCCTGGCCTCAGCGTTCCTCATAAATGCCATATTCATGACACCTGTTTTACCAAGTCTATCTTTCATTTTGGTGTCTTCCACCTCATCAACCTGTTCAGTCTCAATATCACTCAAACCCTTACGATCATCCTCATCATCGGAATTTCTGTCTTGAATCTTTGCCTTTAACCGTTCACCCTGTCTTAGCATTTCTTCCATTTCCTCTCTTGTCTCTGCATCATTCGTCATACCATGTTTAATCATATCTTTTGCCCACTTGGAGTTAGTCTTATGCTTTAGAGTCATTCTTTCTTTAGCCCTTGCCATATCTAGCTCTGTATCACTCTCGTCTGAAATACCAGCCAATTCTCTATTCTTCTGTATTTCCTTCTTTTTAATTCTATGATATGCCTTAGACTTGATTTTCTTTATTCTTCTTGCCTTTCTTTCCTCACGGAACATAAGTTCCCTCATTAACCTCATCTCCACAGTCCTTTTCTTCATTTCTTCTGGAGTCATCTTTGCGGTATGCAGGTCTTCGAATGTAGCTTCCTTTTCAGGATCTACTAAGTTAGATTGTTCCAAAACATCTCTAACTTTATCTTGCAGAGAAGTTGAAGTGTTTTCGGAGTTAGATGTAGTAAATACAGAAGCTTCTTGATGTTCCACCTTTGGGTTCATTGGGAACGACAAATGTTCAGCTCTTCTATTCTGTTTTACAACGTCAGACCATCTACTTACTTCATCTTTCGATATTTCGTAGGCTGCCTTACGTTCATTTCTTTGTTGAATTCTTTGTGGAAGAGGAATTGCGGTTGCTGCTCCCTCACCCTTCAGTAGAGTAGCTTTCTCTGTGACTTGCTTATCATCCACGATATTCATCATATCAGATAAACTCAATTTTTGGGTACCTTCATTTTCTCTAACAGACGGTAAAATGTATTCATTCTCTTCACCAGTACCATATGTTGCTAATCTTTTTGAAGAGCTCTTAGATGCATCTCTCAATAAATTAGAGGTAATAGTCCTTAGTTCAACATCTTCATCATCATCAGAAATTTCGTCGAATGGATCGTCGCTTGACTCATCTCCTTCATCCTCTGAACTTCCCTCACTGGATGATTCTTCATCACTAGATTCTACATCCGAATCCTGGAATTTGAGTGATTCATCTTCAATGTCTTCTTCCACTGATAAATTTTTACCTCCTTTATATTTTTTAGTCTTGGTACCATCCATATCCCAAATTTGAGATAAGGACATCAGTTCACCTTCTTCAATAGAGGTATAACCACCCTCACTTAAATTATCAACATCAATATTATTTTCTTTGCTCAGTTTACCTAATTCATCACCAGAATCGAAGGCTTCATCAGAATCTAACTCTTCATCTTCAAATGATCCGTCAGAAGCAATATCAGAATCACTGTCGTTCCTTCTTTCGGACTTCTTTAAAAGATTAACAACTGTACCATTTCTACGTGGGTTGTATGTATCACTATCTCCATCAGATGCTGAGCCTTCTAATTCTCTTTCAGCAATCTCTAGAGCATTCAAAACTCTCTTAGAACTTTTACTTCTCGATTTAGATTTGGATTTTTTAGCCATATTTCACGGTTACTTCTATAAAGGTATCGTTGTTTAATATTATTAGGATTGATATAACTTATGAAATAAGTACAAATAAACCGTAATCGAATATATAGTTGAACAGGTTAACATGTTTATTATATTTTATATATTGGTTACGCTGTTAAGCCAGAAGCTCATCGCATCGATAAATTTTTCAACCGCAGAGTCTAAGAAAAATTTTCTTTTCGTACGGTGATATTTCCTATTACGGTAAATGCATTTTTATAATTACTTAATTTGGCAACTGTTACCTAATATGTTAGATAGATACACAATCATGATGGATATATATATAAATGGGAAAATAATCATTCACCTTAATCATTTCGAAGTTGTTGTAGCTTCTTTCTTGGCAGCCTCATGTTGCTGCACAGCAAGCTGTCTTATTTGAGATTCAATGGCTAATGATGATTGGGATTTATCCTTTATGATATTTTGTATTTGAGTTGATTCATTATTTAGCTTTTCTATCTTCTTTTCATAAAATGCAATGGCATCCTTGGAATCTTTTTCAACGTAATAACCAGTCCCTATATCCACCATAAACTTGGTATTATCTTTTATGTGACCTGATATATATAGGGATGAGGAGGCAGGTATTAGTAAACTTTGGTTCCTGTTAGCATCGTCAGAAACGGTCTTAATGTCTGATACACATTCGGCAAATTTGTTTTTGGCCACTATCAATGCTTGTAAGGATTGGGTGAAATGGTTCAATTCTTGGTCAAATTGTTGCTTTACAGCATTTAGTTGTTCCGGATTTAATTGGGTAAGATCGACTGATCATATTCTTGGATTGTTGCACGAGGCACGTATCTATAAAGTTAGTAAAAAAAATCACATAATAAACAAAAATTAGAATTGCTTAAAATTAAAGCATAGTAATGGATTCACATACTTTTTTGAGACATTATATTGGAGGTACACTTATATTCTGTTAGTGTTTGAATAAACTATACTTATAAACGCCTCTTTATATTGACTATTCGTACAAGTTACTCTTATACCTTTGAAAGGATTTTTTTTGTTTTTGCTTGTATTGAAATTTTCAAGAGAGCCGCTATTATGGGAAATTTCATTAATATTATAAAGTTACTGTTTTATTATGTATGTCGTTAAAAGTGATACTATGCATATGTGTATATCTATTTAAGTATATCAGTTCCATTCTTGTTACCATCTTTAGTCATCTTTGCACTCTTTGAACCAAATTGAATGGCACGTTTAGGTTCTTCTGCAATTGCGCCTAAATTCAATTTAATCTTTGCTACATTTCGAAGTATAAACTTGTTTATCTTGTAATTAATTGGAATTTTTGATGTTGAATATTGAATAACAGACTCATCAAGGAATGGATACCTTACTTCCACACCGTTTTCAGCTATAACTTTATCATCTCTATTCAAATTTCTATCATGTATATTATTAATCTGTTTGACTAATTCTTCTACTAACTCTGGAGTACTCTTATTAGCAAACTTATGATACCCTCCATATAATTCATCTGCACCAAGCCCACTAAACAATACAATCCCTTTACGATTATATTCATGACGAGTTCCATCATCATAATTAGTAATAAACCCTTGTCCTCTTGAAGCAAAGAAAAAAGCAATGGCAATGGAAAGATCCATCTCTGTATTCTTAGGATACATGTAATCAATAACCTTAGGTCTTATTGATAAATATTCTTCATAAGGTACATCGACTTCTATCAATTTTATATTTACGTCAGGGTATAAATTTTTCAAAATTTTTGTACTAGAAATTGCAAGCTTTCTATCAGGTGTATCACTAGGTTGTAATTTAGTTCTTGGGTTTTCAAATCCAACATTTAATAGTTCTATTATAGTATTATTACCCGGCATTTTTATCAATTGTTCACACATTAATGCTACAATAATTGAACAATCCAATCCACCTGAAAATAAGATAGCAATAGGAGAATTTTCAATATGAGTTGGATGAATTGTAGTAATTCTCTTTGAGACAGCGTTACTTAATTGTTCATATAATTCACTTGTGATCATATTAAGATCATTTAAACCTTCATCAACAAGTGAGGTGACATCATATGGAACGTCTCGTATGTTACATGGTTCAACAATGAAGTCTCTTTTAGAAGTATCAAATATATATATTTGTCCACCAATACAATTAATAAATTGCTTCGATGTGGTACCTGTCACACTAGCCACATATAATTCATTAGTCTGTGAATCGATGCAATAACTGAGACTTCTTTTACCAATAGTGTCTCTACCAAAATAAATAATATTATTCACTAAATCACTAATAGTATAAGCAAATTCACCATCTAAATTTTTAATCACATTAATAATTTCTTGTTGTATTGATAACTTATCATCATCATAGACATCGATATTAGATAATAATTGTACAATATATTGTGTATCATTCTCATCGAGATCAATTGTTTTATTGTATAATTCACCATTAAATTGTAATACAAATTTTTTATCAATAACAATACTTTGTTTTGTGAAAGGTTGTCTCAAGGATAATACAGATGAAAACCAACATGTATTTACACCATGTAGAGTCCTGTAAGATGAGAAATTCGGACCTCTAGCTACGATATAAGGAACAATCTTATCAATGGTATCTTTTCCACTAGATGTTACGACTTTATCATCTTCTGCAAATTCCAAATATACATCCTGAGCAGTGACATCACAGCTACCACTGCTATTAAATAACAGTATTCCACACATCCTTTCAATTACAAAGCTTTGAAAATGATTCTACAAAGTGCAGAGACAAGTGAAAAAGACAACTAGCTCGAGACAAACATCACCTTTAGTCAAAACAACGCTAGCTCATCGAATCTGGTTTATTTAAATTAAACTGAAAAGAAAATAAAAAATGTATCACCAACGGTGCAGCTCTCTACCAGTTACCGTAAACAGTCACACCACGAAAAATTTCAACCCATTTCTTAACAGCGAGCGCAAAAAATGACAGAAAGAAATGAAAGCGAACTTCGCTGTGGTATGTCGATAACTGTCACCAGAAAACACCACTGAATGACGCATAGTTTGCGTGTAGCGAATGCGAGGAAAACGCAAACGAATTTGGTGCATTTTTTGGGGAAAATTCTTTATTCCCACTCTATAAAAAAAAACACAGACATAAATAATTTTTTTTTACCATTTTAACAACCATTAAAGTTAAGAGGTAGCGAATGGTATTTTAAGGTTTTTTTTAAATAAGCAAAGGTCATCGCTGGAATTCGAGATCATCGCATCCAAATAGTAGGATTCTGAACTTTTCAAGGGATATACGTATAGTATTGTTGTTCGACAATAGTTTTGAAAGTAAGAAGATTCAGTGGTAGATCCTGTTTTTGTGTGTGTATAATTATTATCGAGCATATAGACAAAAAACAACAACAATAATATGGCAAATAGGGTTAGTAAATTGCCTATTAAATCGAAACGAGCCAAGACATTTACTGGTTGTTGGACTTGTAGAGCTAGAAAAGTGAAATGTGATCTTCGGCGACCTAATTGTACTAGATGTGTTAAGTCCGGACTTGAATGTGGTGGTTATGATATTAAATTAAGATGGTCAAATTTAGTTCAATTTGATGAATATGGTGTACAAATTAATAGTAATTCAAGAGCAGATAGTAATAATTCAGATAATAGTAATAGTCCCATGAGCTCAGATAAACCAAGAAGATTTCAAAGAAGAAATATAGATTTTGTTAGATATGATAAAGAATATGTATTTCACGAAGATATGGATGATGAATTAACTTTATTACATGCTCCACCACCTGAAAAAATTGAAAATGGTAAGACTTGGATTATTGAAAAATTTGGTGTATTTTTAGGCAGTGATAATAATAATAATAGCAATACTGATCATAATGATAATTTATCAACAAGACAAAAAAATATTTCAAATTCAAAACGTTCAACATTATCAAAATCTTCCACAAATGAACAAGAAATTATTTCAGAACCAATAAATCTTCCATTTAGAAATAACGAAACCGAAGAATCTATTTGTCCCGAAATTTATGAAGCTTCAAATAATGAAAATATTAAAAATTCTTCACAACAACAAGAATCCACAGCAGAAAACAATAACGATAATTCTCAAGATAATTTAAATTTAACAAATCCTCAGTCAATGGGTTATAATACAGATTTAACTAGTTTCCCTGGGTTTGAATGGATATCTAAAGAACTACGTGAAGAAGTATTATTATCTGCTTTTGCATCTCAAGGAACTCCATTTGATAGAACATATTTAACGTCTTCTTCAGAGAAAACCCAAAAAGATATAGAAGGAGACACCGAGAATATATCAAGTGCACAGACGACCTTGGATAAAAATAGTTCTATTATCGATTCTTCTCAGCAGGAACAACTTGGTAATGCAGTTCAAAGTGCTTTACATTCTTTATTTCAAAAACCTGAAGAAATTGAAGTGAAAAAACATCAACAATTAATCAATAAAATAGATTCTCAACAAGATCTCTCTATCGAAATCAATGTACCAAATTCTGATAATAACGATATGCTTAAGACAGCTATTGAAATAGTAGACTCAAAGATAAAAGATAAAAACAACTTAGTAACTTCTTTAAGAAAAGCAAATTTGCCATTTAATATCCCTACTACAGGGCTATTGGTTCATGGTCTTACAAGATTTCTTCTAGCTTATTATTATGATAAAGTTGCAGATTTGATGACCGTGGTATCATTACCAGATAGAAATCCTTGGAAGAAATTATATTTCCCAAGGGCAATATCAGCTCTTGGAGATATAGCGGGATTAGGTCATACTTCAAATTCAAGAAATTGTTTATTAAATGCTCTATTAGCTGTTGCATGCTTCAATTTAAAGAGTAAACTGCCAAAAAATTCTAAAGAACAAACTTTGTTTCTAAATCTGGGTATAGAATTCAGAACTCAGGCTACTGGTTTCCTTAAACAATGTTTATCTTCAACCGTCAAAGAAGAAAGATATAAAGACGTATTGACAGCAATCCTTTCGTTGAATTCTATTGATGTGGTATGGGGTACGATGTCTGATTGTCAACAACATTTAGATCTCGGGGAAAAATTTATTGAATATAGAATGGAACGTAGACCAAAATTATCTGAAAAGGCCAAAACTTTGCATAGAATATTTTCTTTCTTAAAATTGATCCAAGATAGTACAGCACTAGATAAGGTAATATCTGATGAGATTGTTTTTTCTGTAACTAGTCCACATAACCAGGATACAGGAAATATCAATGGTAATGCAACAAATCAAACTGAAATACAGCAACCTCCAGATGGACAATTCAAGGAATCACTTAATAAGAAAGATGGAAAGATTAGAATCGAATTTGTGAAGAATAATGTTTTAGAACATTCTTCAGATGATTCTGCTGGTATATCGCCCCCAATTTTCGAAAACCTTACAAGTAATAGTTTCTCTCATACCAAATCATCGTTAACTACAAAGATGGATATTGTTGACATAGAGACTTTATACGGTCTTCCAAATTCATTAATCCTCTTATTTTCAGATTGTGTCCGGATTGTACGGCATACAAAATATTATAATATGAAATATATTCCCGTACCACGTCAATTTATTGATGCAACCCAAAAATTTGAGAAAAGATTAATGAAATGGAAACCAGAATGGGAATTTTTTGAGAATCCTTCAAACAATGGGGAGAAAAAATTTATTAACGAAACTATCGAGGCACTTTATCACCATACAATGAGTTTTTATAATGGTCTCATTATATACTATTTCTCTATGGCCAGGGATTTAAGTAACAATTTCTTGCAACAATATGTTGGGAATGTACTTGACAGTTTACGGAAAATGAATATCCTAATAGAAAGTAAAAAGGTAAAAATAGTTCCTTTAATATGGCAAGGTTTCATTGCAGGATGTGCTAGTATGACAGAGGATGAACAAAATGAGTTCCGCAAATGGGCTGCCAAATTAGCAGAAAGCGGTATGGGATCATATTGGGGGGCTCGACAAGTCATGTTCGAAGTTTGGCGAAGAAGGAAGGCAGGTGTACATGGTGACGATTGGTTTTCTGTTTATCAAGACTGGGAAATGAATTTAATGCTATCGTGATCAACTAAACCGTACACGGTATATTTAGATTTAAATTTTATATTATTATTAATATAATCATGTCTAATAAGTTTTATTCAGATATAATTTCATTCAAAACCATTGAGGATACCTGGAACGTCATTTTTTCAATCATGAGTAAATTTTCGAATATGAAAATGTGCAAAATAGTAAATGATTGATAACAAACAAATTTTTAAATTATAGTGTATGTAGGTTTATATTTAAGAAACAATTATTACGTCTATTAGAAGAGAAGGGATGAGACTGACAATGAATATTTTATTGCCCTAAGGAAAGAGAAAAGTAAAAATATTAGATATTTACAAAAATGGTTACTAAAACATTCAGATTAGAAAAAAAGCAGAACAGGAAAATAAACTATCAATTACCATCATATATGAGCCTGTCATCTGAATGATAATTATTGGAAAGGTTGATTTGGTTTTCCGCTGAGAATTTGTTTATCAATAAAGATTTTATTTAAATGAAAAGAAAGGAGATAGAAATTAAAAAAATTGATATTACACAAACATTAATATTGTTTGCACTATTTTCTACCACACCAGCATTGTATACGTCCCTTTTAGTGGAAGTTAATCTGGTGTCTTCAAGATTGGCTCTCTTCCACTATCTATGACCACACGGAGATTCGTAGCCACGTATTACGTGCCATGGATCATCATAAGCATCATTGTCGTAACAGTCATTATCAAAATCATTATTTACAACCTGTTAGTTACATCCAAATAATTGATGTCTTATAAAATTTATTTCCTCAAGTAATACTATTTTCACGTTTTGCAGCAAGTACTTAACGAAACTAAACATAAAAAAAATTGAAAATTAAAATATTTGTTTTACAAAATACAATAAATAGCTAAGAAAGATACATATAACATCCCGAATTCCCCTCAAAAACTACCCTTTTAGATATTCTTTCGGTCTATTAAACAACCACCATGCATATCACTCGAAGGCGTCAATCTCACTGTAGATGGATTGAATGAATAAATCGCAATATTTGAAGTTGTGCTCCTTAAGTCTCTGTTTCTCGATATCTAAATGAGATTTCACAACCTAGTACTATACTATATTTGAGCTACAGACCCAAATTGTTAAATATATATGATAAGTGTTTGCATTACTGCTTATTTTGTCTTGTAGAGCGTAATCCATTTTATCGATCTCATATTTTAATAAAAGTTATGTAGTAATATTTTACAGTTTATTCTTCGTCGTTCTCTTTCAAACCTGATATATAATATACATAAGAATTAGGACATAGACGTTTTTTACTTCCATCATTCATGCTCTTTATATATGTTTGGTATTACGTTGTTTTCTTATTCATACAAGAATCCCTTCATGTCAGACCAAGTCGGATAAGCCTATTTTATCATCGTTGATTACTGACTTTCTTCGTATCATTTATTATTTCTTTGCTCCTAATAAGCTTATGCTATTGCTCTATGGACAACTGGGATTCATCAATATTTATGTTAAGTAATAATTTTAATCAGGAAATATGTCATTAGTTAACAAGGAAAATTCGACTTTCTTTTATCAAATATGGAATAGATAACCAATGTTATACTACGTCGTTACTTTTATTTTATTTTATTCATAAACGAATTATATTTTCAATAATTAAATAGAACGTTATGGGCATTTCTGTCTCCCGACGTTATATTTAATATTTTGCACAAAACTAAATCTTAATTTATTTAGAATTCTAGCAGTTCCAAATATTTTATTCGGGTAACAAAATTTAAAAATAAGGAGCTGTTACATAAAAGTTACACCAGGGTATGCCAACGAGTGGTCCTTTTTCTTGTCCTTTTTATGTTCAAAAAATACCTACTCAAAAAATTGACTCCCATTAAAGGTCCTACAAAGTTTTTTTACAACTCCTTCACGCCGTGCACTTTCGAAATGAAAAAGAACAAGAAAAAGCTTAAATGATTGACACCCTAGTAGATATATTGATTGATCTGGTTAGTGTGATAATGTATCAAAAGTGCGTATTAAATTAACAACGATGAGGGGTGTAGTTTCGAACTATTATACGAAAAGATGTACATTTCATTTTCTCTCTGATTAATCCTGCAATGCTAGAGTTCCCATTTCATCAATTCAAGAGATCCGATCTTTAAATTATTATAGAAGAACCTTTTTTCTAGTAAATACCTTTGTATCCCTCGGCAAAGAACGAGGTATTTCAGATCGTAAACAACGTTGCAGCTTCCACAACTAAATGGTCCTGGAACAGAAACCGTGCAGAGGGAAAATTCGCCAAGCCTTCCTTTCGCTGCTAATATTTTTTAGCTCATCGCAGCAAACGTGAATTTTTTTTCTTGGCAACTCTTTCCGAATTGAGAAGTGTGTTTTCTGTCGCACTCATACGAGATCTTAAAGAGAAACGTTGAGAAAGTAAAATACAAATAATGACCACCAAAACGTCCAAGTGCTCTAATGAAGTACATAATATCAATTTATTTCGTGCTACCCCTGATTGATCATTTTGGTCGAGCAAGTGAAAACGACCTAGCTGTTCTGAATATTTTATCTTTTAACCAGTGTACTTAGGCTGGCTACGATGTTTTATGAGATCCGATGCGCACTTAGAGAAATTTTCCCTGTCAGGTATGACCCAATGATTAATGATGGGTTTTACTCATGAGCCACAAACACTTTAGTCGTATAAAGTCAAAATATACAAAAAGAACTATTTTTTCGCAGTAAAAATAAGAAGAGGTGGATAAATTTCACTTTAATAATCCAACTGTTACTGTAAGATTATTAGTTTTCTACCAATTTAAAGTGAAAAATAGAATTATTCTAAAGATTTGTTAACGTTGATACACATATATGCACCATTTACGGTAGGTTCGATTAACTCGTACCTATTTGATGGGATCATGTTACTTAAACCGTCTACATTTTTTGAGATAAGGTTACGGACCGTTTAAATATCTTTTTTTTATTAAGACCACACAAATACCGGAGAAAGAAACTCGATATTTTCCATTTATTACCATTCACCCAATGATATGTAAATTCGTTCCTTCATGGGTACATTACAGGAACTCTTTTCACATTTGGGTTAGCTAACCTTGTGCTAAGTTAACCTGTAAGGAAATATATTTTAGACATAACCAAACGAATTGTGTTCTAACTTTACTTCTACTTTTTAATGAAATGTTCTGATCATCAACACCTTGTTGTGTTGTATTTTACCATATAATTTTACGAAGGATTACAATATAGTGATGCTTAAGTCATGTAAATAATGTAGAAAACCACGAAAATGTTTTTTCCATCATCATTTTCTGGACCTTCCTGTTATCTATATAAAGACCATTAAATTAAAACCTGAAAGATAACATTTGATACCTATTTATTTCTTACTTCATATATTAAACTCTTATAGCAATCTCGCTGACCGCATACTATTGATTATGAAGTTTTCCACTAATCTTCTATTGCTTGCCTTGTCTTTGACAGCAAATGCTACCTCAGATCCTACTCCAGAACAAACAGCCGAACTGGTTGTCTTATTAGAAGATGTTAGCAACAACTTCAGTAAGTATGTGTCCTGGTTCTTGACTTCTGGTCAATCTATTCCAACTGGTATTGTTGATGTGTATATGGTTGTACGTACCGCTACTGATCTATCTTACACAACAATGTTCACAGAATTAGATGTGACTGCTCTAGAAGCTATGGCTACAGCAGTACCATGGTATACTTCTTATCTGTCCTCAGAAATCGCTGCTGCCATCGCTAGTGTGGATGCCACCTTGTATCCATCAACTTCATCAACTACTTCTGCCATTACTTCCAGCACTACTTCGACTACATCTACCACACCCATCACATCGACGTCAACCTCCAACATTATTTCCACGACAACTTCTGAACATGAATCATCTAGTTCATCAGATATATCTGCAGCAACTTCTCGTGCACCATCAGCAGTTGCCTCAACATCAGCAGTTGCCTCAACATCAGTAGTTGCCTCAACATCAGTAGTTGCCTCGTCATCAGCTGTTGCCTCAATATCTATTAGCTCCTCATCACCATCAAATGTTGAAACCACAGCAGTCAGTTCTGCCTCTAGCACTTCCTCAAATACAGTAATCCCTACCTCTATAGATAAAACTTCTAGCGCTACCGAATCCGTATCCTCTATTTTGGATCAACAAACAAGTGATCTACCAGCAGCTACTACATCTGGATCAACCGCTAACCCATCATCTAAAGCTTCTGCTTCATCGAAATCTACCACTTCTCTCTCCACTGCTTTTGCAACAGATGCTGACACCAATTCTTCTAGAAGCACCAGTTTGAATTCAGCATCTACTTTAGTTTCTTCTACCAATTCCCACGCATCCGTCAATGGCAACTCACTTTCAAATTCCACAGCGTCTACTACCACTGGATCGCAATCCGGAAGTGTGACTTCTGCAGTAAACTCAAAAATCGTTGCAACAGCTCATGTTACTGAAATCAGTAACAAGACTGTTACAATTTCAACTGATTCTGTTATTGCCACAGAAATCGACACTATCACCTCCTGCTCTCATGGTTGCTCAGTTGATACCCTGAAAGAGGAAGAAACAATTAAGACGACTGTAACAAGTTGCTCAAATACAAACAATGATGCCAACATTGCTACTGCGGTAACTGTAACTTCATTAACTACTACTACCGAGACCACATGTGATGAGAAATGCCAATCTTCAAAGTCTAGCGCTGCTTCTGCCACTTCCACCGTTGAAACAACCAAAAACACTAATGTTGCCCAAGCTACAACCACTAGAACTACCACTAAATGTGACGAAGCTTGTCAATCTACAAAGTCCTCTAGTATATCTTCTGTATCTTCTAAAGTACAAGCACAAGCCAACAATTCTGGAGCTAGCAGTTCAACTTTAACAACTGTTGGTAAAGATACTACAACTTCATCTGCACTTGCACAAGCTTCAAAGAGTGTAAGCACGAGCGGCTCCACCAACAACGTTTCTGTTCAAACAGAAAATGTAGCTAATGCAAGAATTAATAATCTTAAAGTTGCTGTCTTTGGTGCCGCTTTACTACTACTATAACATTAGTATTCGCTACTAAAAAATTCGATATATCCATCCTTTATGAATATATGTTACTCAGATTATAATTATATACCAAAATTCAAATATCCTAATCCTCATATTTCGCAATATGTGATTTAGAATATACCTTGAAGTTCGTTTTTATGGAATTATATATATTTTATTCATGTATATGCATATGTATATGTGTACCATTGTACAAATTATTTCAGTTAAAGCCATTTTACTACTTAAAATATTAACACAATGTAAAATCGTTTGATTAACAAAATATGTAATTTTTAAATTACTGATTTTATATTTTTACTATCTTCTCTGTTGTCATGTTCGCGACTCTTTATCATAAAAATAGAGAAAAACACTAAAATTCCATTACCCATATTATCCACAGCTCTTATCAAAGGCTACGACCTTTGCTATGTTGAGATATGGTAAAGTATGGACACATAAGAGCGTATCTAGCTTAACTGTCGATCAAATAATATTTCTTACGTTTGTAGCATAGTTGTTGACATATTGCACGCTGATTTAATTAGAAAGTTCTTCGGAAGCTCTACTCTCTATTTCTTTGTCTTGACACATTCCAACTTAGAGTATAAGACCAAACTTTGGCATTCTGTTTCAGATAGCATAATTGGGAGTGAGCTAGTCTATCATACCGAAAGACCATTTGTGAAACATTATACGATCGAACAGAATTGAGTGGAGTTTGCTCCTATCTCGTTAGCAGAAGAGTAATGGCTAACATCACATAAAATAGAGTGATGTTATCTATTTCAACACAACTAGTTTCCCGAGTAGCAATACTCATACCAATATCGTAAATATAACCTTTATCACTTAACATTTCATTGCTGTACATGCATGATGATTACTACACGATGTAACAATTCACTGACCCTTTAACTTACCACAGCTATCGAAACCATTTCTCGACATCTCTCTTCAAATAGTGTTCCAGGCTCCCCACATTGAGATAACCAAGAATCTTATTAGGCATCTAATAAATGAAACTTGTTCTATACTATAACTTTCAGCAGGTTTGATATGATAGGTTATGAACGAGCCACATCATTTATTGTTTAATAATTCTGTAGGATTGATCAATCATAATATAATAGGAGCTGGTGAGGGTCAGAAACTGTTCTGGATATTAGTAGGGAATTATGCGTTGCATAATTTTCGCTTCTGCTGTTAGCTCTTCCACAGGCCATAGAAAACACGTACACAGAAATAGCTTCTACGGGAACGTCTCCAAAAAATTAAAAATCACCAAATGTTTTTATGATTAACAATGGTTTTCTGACATTAAACATCCCACACAATTCTCAGTTCTAAGTTTAGTATAGCAATCTAAAGAAGACATTACATTGCTGCACTGCGAGTAGCAAAGATGACAAGTCCTTTATAGCTAATATGACAGTTTGAGAAAATTTCCACATAACCAATGTATTTTATAAGCCTTGCAACAAATAAAGAAGTAACTAGTAATAATTTATTTGTTAGGGTCAAGCATTATACCTAGCTCAATCAGATTAAGCGCCAGGGGCATCTTTTTCTGAAGTACTTGCGGTAAAAACAGTCCAGTGCTTACCGTGGGAAAAAAACCCATACTAGAACTGTAGAAACACATACTCCTATTTAAAATGTATTAAAACAATAAATTTTTACGGGTTTAGCTTTGCAAGGTCCCTTTGTCGAACCATTTATTCAGATGTGGTTTTTCACTGTTTCTTTTTTTTCTTTTTTTGTAATCTCGAAGGTAAACATTCCATCATAGTCATTCGCTGCAGAAAATGTAGAATTCTGCGCATTAGCAATAAAAAGGTTTGGCGATTCCCCAAATACTGCAGAGCCAATGCGTATATCTACCCACTAACTTTCCCCTTGTCATCCTTTACAGCATTTGTTATTTAAGTAAATTTCTTTGTCAAATACCAATAACTCGTAATCATCGACTATTTTATTATTTTTACAAAAACCAGATACCTACAAGTTAACGGTAGTAGGTCACAAACCACTGTTTGCTCAATTCTAGTAAAGCCTTTGAGTTATCCATCAATGTCGGTGATTATTCCTCTAATAATCATGTTGGTATTGAGCTTTTTGAACCTACTCACAAGTTCTCCGAATGCTAATTCTATTGATAAAAAGCACGTTTATCCTTCCTTAAGGTCAAAAAAGCGATGGAAATTTGCCGAAGTCGGGGCAATGGCAGGAATAGTGATAGCAGCAACTGCAACCATTGCCTCAGCATGGGTACCAATCTTATGCGCAACTCCAGCAACACCCTGATACTTCATATTCTCAATAGAAGTTACTGCACTCACAATGATTTTAACTGTGGTTCTAATATCAACAATATCTTCAAGCATTGTCAAACATGATCTTTGTAGTTTATGCAATTCTGTCACCGGTACTATTGTTGATAAATATTGGGATCAAAATCTGTTAGAAAGGAAGAGTAAATATATTAATCCATTAAATCAGTTCTCTAGGTCACATCATATGCACTATTAAGTCGCCAGCGCATGTAACAAATCATAGGTTAGGGTTTCACTATTTACTTCAGATATAAAAACAAATTTGCTAAAAGGATCTGGTAAAAATACAACAACAACTAGCCATCAGTCCAAACTAGTTAAGTTTAACCCACAATTTTATGTCCAATATTATGATCTAGTTACAATTGCCTAAGTTATAGATTTACAACATGGTTCTGGCTGTATTGATATTAAACGATATCAGAGATTTTGAATTAATTTATTCTTAAAGAGACGAATCCCTTATGAGGTTGGTAGAATGTCACATAATGCCGACAATGATAATACTAAGCAAGAAGTACAAGAGTGGAACGTATGTTGAGATCTGGGTTAATTAGGAACTTTATTTTCTTTTGAGATAAACTCTAGGAAAACTGTAGAAGTGGTATCAGTTCTGGGTTCTTTAAGACATATTAGTTAGGTTTTTAATGTATTTTATTTATTTTATGAAATGTATGTAAGTGTCTACTAAGCTCCCTCTGTATAAGATTGAAAGATTGAAAATATATGTAGAATCGACCTCAATGGTTTCCTAAATTGTTTCATTTTTATTCAGTTAATTCAGGATGGAAACATGGTACCATTTGAGTCCTGCAGCAAACACCTTTTCCAATTACCCTCAGATCTGCATATTTCGTTTAATACCACAATATTTTATGAATTCTAAGGTAGTAAAGTTCTATAAACTTGTGATGAAATGTACGGTATTATAGATAATTCACTCAGTATTTCTCCAGTTTCATTTTTTTCCAACCTGAGGTTTATCTTATAGCCTCTTTGTCTGGGGTTAACCATTTACTCTTATGAAGGATATGCACCACCCCCAAATAGTTTTCTATGCATGATAACACACCGGGTCTAGCAACGAATACATTTTGAGTAATACAAATGTAATTTGGATTTATTAATTTTTTTCATTTTAGTGAAAAAGGATGGAAAGTCTGATAGTGTCCTCTTAAATTGAAAAACAAGTTAGCCGCTGAAGGTTTTTTTTCTTAGTTCTTAAAATAAGGGCAACGTGACATTCTAGCGGCTAAGAATGTTGTACGGCACTTTTACATATTTTTTTTCCAGGTTTCTTGAAAATCGCGTGGTATATAAAGAAGTCGATTTTTACGTCAGATTTAAAACTGGTGTGATTTTTTTATTCTTGTTTCTACCTCCTCTTCCATCCCATTGATTATTGTTTTATTAGAAATGGATCGAAGCTCAATTTCTAGAGATAAGTGGTATGATTATGCAGATCCTTGATCACCGATAACTCGAGGTAGCCTCAACAGAAGCTAAAATAGCAAAAAAAGAAACTTTGATGGTCTATGGAATGAATTATTATTGACAATCATATGGGTTCCTATTTAACTCGAATATGTTGTGTTCTATTTTATCTCAGATTGTGCGTACGTGACTGTGATATGAAAACCGAAATACTTTTATTCTTTCCATACAATTGCATGTCTGTATAAAGAGATATGTTCATATATATACCAACGATGTTAAATTAATTTGATGTCTTTAAATTATTTTTCATTGGTATCTCATTATTTCAAAAATATTAAAAAATGTAGGTAGTTAACGTCAAATATCAGAATTTTATTACTTATTAAGATATGATTTTATTTTTCGAAAAATTGGTTATTTTTACCATACTAATAAGCATTGTAAACGCACGAGTATCATCATTAGGCAAAGTTTCATTTTCGCCCGGTTTACATGGTAGATTATTTCAAACAAATTTTAAAGAGATCAACCCGGAAAAGCCTTCTGTAGCAGGTGGTTTGTTATTACACACAGACTATTATACTCTCACCGATATTTATTTATCAAGCCGCACAGGTATTAAAGAATTAACTGTTGATTATGAGGATCAATCTAAGGCTATATTTTATGGATTTCAAATATCAAAAAATCTAGACCAATTTATGGTGGAATTAAGAGGTTATTATCGTGCGCCAGCATCTGGTATACCAAGTGTTATAGCAACTTTTTCAACCGAGAGATCGTTTTTAGGGAAATATACTTTAGTTAATGGTTTAGCAGGGGTAAGATTATCATCAGGAATTCAATTAACAAAGGATTCTAATGATATCATCACATGCTCACAAGCAGATTCAACAACACCATTAAAAGCAAACATCGAATTATTGTTAAAATCACAATTATCAAAAACTGAAAGAATAAAACTTGATACTGATTTAGTTGAAGGAACATATTATCCAATTGCAATTACTGTGACAAATTTGGCAAGCTTACTCAGGATAACACAGTTTTCTATGATGATCGACGGGAAGGAATATCCTTTTGATGCGACAAATTTATTTTCAGCCCAATTCTCTGACTCTACTTGGTCTGATCCAACAAGAGATAACTTCCCGAGTAAATGCCCCAAAAATATATTATCTACAACTTTTACAACTGTAAAGACCAAACCAACTGCTGACACTTTAGCAACAACCACAACAACTTATACAGATGCAAAAGGTATAATCATAACGGAAACATTATACCTCGTAGCAACATACAATGAGACCACAACTAAAACTACATCCTCAACAATATCCAAACCAGTTACCTTATCTGTGCACTCAAAAACGTCGTTGCTAACTTCCTTCCCTTCTTTTTCTTCACTTGGAACGCATAGTTCTGCAGAGCAGTCTTTTCACAGTTCAAATTCCGATCTTACTATAATTTCAAATTTATCTAATAGCAGCGAAACCCACGTATCAGAAACTTCAGCTTATATATCAAACTCAAAAGTGACTGAATCATCCGGCCCTCATATCACATCTGATACATCTAATACGTCCCGTTCCAATAGCACACCTCACATATCCGACACCTCTGGTTCATCTAGCACATATTTGACAACTAACTTATCCAGTTCATATAGTACATCTGGTGCAGAAAATTTGACTTCCTCACATAGTATTCCCGGCTCTTCTAGTACCTATAATTTATCTCAATCATACAGCAAATACGGTTCAACTCATCCAATTGACTCACTTAGTAAATCAAATTCATCTGGTCTGTTAAGTTCACACACCACCTCTCGTGCATATACTTTAACAAATTCACGCACTATCTCTGGTACATCTGATTTATCTGGTACATCTAATTTAACCAGTTCATACAGTACATTTAGTACATCCAATATTTCTGGTTACCATAGTGCATCTAGTACATCCGATATTTTTAGTAATCATAGTACATCTGGTACATCTGGCACATCTGGTGTATCTGGCACATCTGGTGTATCTGGCACGTCTAATTTAACCAGTTCATACAGTACATCTAGTACATCCGATATCTCTAGTAATAATATTACATCTGGTACATCCAATATTTCTAATAATCATAGTACATCTGGTACATCTGGCACATCTGGTGTATCTGGCACGTCTAATTTAACCAGTTCATACAGTACATCTAGTACATCTGATATTTCTGGTGACCATAGCACATCTGGTTCAGCTGATTTATTTGGTTCATCTGGTTTATCTGGTACATCTGGTACATCTAATTCAATAAATTCACACACTATTTCAGATACATCAGGTTTGTCGGACTCATACAGTTCGTCCGATTTATCTGTTTCATATAGTAGATCTGGCACATCCGATAATTCTGGTTCATATAGGACATCTATTACGTTTGATTCATCTGGGTCATACAGTGTACCTGTTATGTCCAGTTCGGCTAGTTCATTAAATTCTATTCTCTCACCAATCCTTTCATTTTTTCCTAGCAATACATTATCTAGTGATCTGGGATCATCAATCTCGTCTATTACATCTGATAATTGGGTACCTAGCAAAACAGGGAAACCGAGTCAGAGTTTGATCTCCCATATTACGAAATCAACTGAAAAATCTGAAGTGTCTACATTGGTTACTCCATCTAGCACACTGAGTTTTCTAGGTTCATCTGGTTGGCCAAACTCAAGTGCTACACTAGCCAATTCATTGTCACAATATAGTATAATACAAACCGAATCAAAGAAACCAGTTCATACTTTGAATTCTGGAACTCCTGATCCAAAAAGTACACAATCGATCTCCACCATTTTATCTGATTCATCTAATATACCTGGTTCATCCAGTAGTATAAAAGTAAGTAAATCTATTAAACCGGCTCAAACATCCAAATCAGGAGTAACATATTCATATATTTCATCAACTAAATCTGCTTTGTCCAATTCATTTAACACATCAAGCTATACATTATTATCGAAGAGTAAATTACCCAATGTAACAAAGGAACCGATGTACACACCGAGTTCTAAAAGCTCATCTGCAGACATTTCAATAACAACCACAGTTTCTCCTGAGTTTTCTACTGTATCATCAATTATTTCAGTTTCCCAAGAGAGTGTATCATCAAGCCAATCCAAGAATTCAGTTTTTAATATAAGTTCTGGTGCTTCACTCTCATCTAAATCTGAAACTTCAACCATTCTGAATACTTCGTCCAACTCACTTACTGCATCAGGTTATACCATATCATCTGATGAGATGTTTGAAAATGAGTCCACAAAACCTGTTCATTCGTCAAGATCTGAAAATGTGGAGTCATCTACCTCTACTTTTTCTATTTTATCTAGTTTACCTAAGCCCTCTGTCACATCAATATCGTATAAAACCTCTGTCCAATTTGTTTCAACCAAAATATCAATTCATTCAAAAACTTCCAACTTTCCTAGTTCATCTGGTAGTGTGACAATAAGTGGATCAAGTGAACCTTTTTATACCGAAAGTTCCAGAACCTTAGACTCATCACTTTTGCCCATCACGAGTATTTTGTCAGACTCGTTAGTTTTATTGGATTCATCTACATTAAGTTATACACCCTTATCTAGGCCATTAAATTCTTCAAATATATTTATTTCTTCTTACTCATCCATGGAATCGAAGTCATCAGATTCTTCTATCACACCCGATATTGAGCTTCCTAGTGAATCTGGAAAACTGACCTATTCAGTAAATTCTGAAATTTCAAAATCGTTCAATACTACCAGTAAAGTTACTTCTTCAAGTATAAAATGTTATCCAGTTTCATGTAGCTTATCAGTGTTGAATGCTTCATCCGATGTAACTAGTCACCTGATTTCACCAGGCCCATCTGGTAATGAGCAAGCTAGTAAGTCTTTGAATCCTGTTTACACAACAAGATCTGGAGGTACAGAATCATTTAATATATCTACTAAATTCACTGCTTCTGTTACATCTGACTTAAACACTTCCTTTATTTCGTCGAATTCGTTAACTATCTCACTTTTGACATGTACTAGACTACCGAGTGACTCCACGAAACTAATCAATATTGTAAGCTCTGAAAGAACGGAATCATCTAACTTATTTCCTACAATTGTTTCTTCTAATCCAATCGATTCACATATTAACACCATTTCGTCTGGTTCTTCAAGTTACTTTGTCACATCTCTTTCATTTCATGTCGAAATATCAGATATATCCAAGAAACCAGTTTATAGTGTAAACTCTAAAGTTTCACCCTCTTCAAGCTTACTAATGAATACCATTTCTGTTGGTTCATCAGTTACTTATGATTCATCAGAGTCTTACGTTTCATTAAACTCAACAACTTCTACTATTCTACCAGATTCATATACCAACTTTCACCTGTCCAGTAATGCGATGCAAAGTGAAACTTCTGAATTTTCCAACTTATCTTCTTGGCCAATTACCAGTGTCTCAGTTACTATACTAAGTTCTTCGGTTACCTCAAATTCGCTTATCATGTCAACTCCTTCTATCTCCTCTGATAGTGGTGATTTTGGCGTATCTAGCGTATCAATTTATACAAAAAGCACTGATATTTTGAATCCATCTGGCCCTTCAATTGATACTGATTTATCTGGGCAACCCAATACAATTATTTCATCGCATATAATTAGCTCACCAACAACTTCAGACTATTTGGTTTTTACAACTGAAACAACACTACCTAACGAATCGAAGAAATCGGTCTATACCGTAGCACCAGAAGTTTCAAGATCATCTGATTCATATGCTCCATCTTCTTCTTTTATCCCTTCCAGTAATATATTTACATCCACCTTGCCATTACCAAATCCTTCAAAAGGAAGGACCAATACGTTCAAACCACAATCTTTTCAAACTGCAACCTCTTCTTCACAAATGACTTTGGTCCAGACATCTTCTGAAAGTTCACTTTTACGTTCATCTCATTCATTGGATGCAATTTGGAAGCACACTACCACTAATGAAATTGAAAGTTACCCATTATTTAAATCTACAATGTATCCTTCTTCTTCATATGAATTTTTAAAGACAGCCGTGTCGAGTAACGATTATTCTGATTCATCGCCAAATACAGTAATTAATGCAAATACAAAGGTCTTCACCACTACTGGAGGTAAAGAAACACAAGAAAACAATTCCAATATACAGACATTATTAATTAGTACAGATAATGTCAATAACATACCGAGTGGTAGAAGAAAATCTTCTTCCTTAAGTGAACAAAACAAACCAATCCCCAAATCTACTACAGAGATTTTTGCAATCAATTCGCATTCTATATTGCCAGGTACACACAGTGCAACAAGAACAATAAGATCAACTTCTGACATTGTTTCTTCTAATTCTCCGAATAGTGAGTCATCAAATGATAACATTAGAAGTACAGAGACTGAGTCACAGTCTTTGAATAAATCTGATTCTAAATTACCTTCTTGTACTTACATTTCATTATCTACAGCTGATTCATCAGTAATTACTAGATCTGGTGTTCACAGTGACAATGTTCATTCCACTTCTAATATTTACAAGGGCTCTGGGGTTTCATTAAAACCTCCTTCAGTTGGAATTATTTCCTTAATTGGGCAGATAATACTTCTCTTATAAAAGATCTTTCTCCATATTCAATTTTATTTTTACATACATTCTTCATATATAACAGATTTATATTTAATATATATATAAAACTACTCAAAAGTTTTGAGATAGACCCAAAGTCGAAGAATTATTAGTATTTTAGGCCCTCGCTTCGTGAAGACCTTGATTGTCAGTAGACGACATTTTAATGTAGATAAGATAGTCGTTTTATTATATATGTAGTTTATATAAATTTGTGGTGTGTGTTAGTTCACCCCTCTGTAATCTAGGTATTACATTCTACTTTCAGTTAATTCCGGTACTTAAGTCTGTTCTGTGGCCCATCATATTAGCACATTTGACGGGGTCGATCATTTACCGTTGAGAACGGCCTTTTCTATGTTCCATCAAAAGTTGGAAAATGAATAGAAGCTCAGGGTCATGTATTTAAGGACAAACCTATGATCGTTGGGGAAACAGAGGGATAATACGGATAACAAACAGGAACGTGCGAGCTATGTTTGAAATGATGTCCCTGCTATCCTCACCTTGTCACTAATTACAAGTAGATCGTCGGGATATATAAGGGTAGAAGTACTATGTTCCATATCTGTTGGCAAAACTTCATGGTATTTTAGGGGTTACACAGATTACATCCAGTATATGTATAACCAAAGGAAAACATAGGAAGTGCCTCTTTATCATTTTCAAAGAACTGGACTTAGTGAAATTAATAATTTGATGTAGTTCCCTTTCAAGGATGCCAAATGTTTTACTCTTCCTAGCCTTATTTAGAACGCTTTGACAAATATATATATATATTTTATGAGGAAAAGAAAGGGAAAACAAGCATGTACAGATAGGTATTGGTAGGTGTCTGTAGTATACTGAAAATTTTGACTGAATGTAGTCGAATTTCTCCATACACCAACCCATTCCAGCACCAAGAGCAAACCACATCTAGATCTTAACGAACCATGTATGAAACTCGAGTGAAGGACCATATTTCTAAAATGAAAACAGACACTTGATAT